TTGATTGAGGCAACTATGAATAGCTTGCTTAGAAAGGGACAATATGATTAGCAGTGCCTGGGCAGCCCTGACAACACGTTTGGGCTTTCCTTTCTTGAAATTTTCCTACTTGATTTTTGCAATACCATTCTATCTTAGTTTTACGTTTCAGGTTCCTTTTTTCATACCGTAATATATTAATTCAGCAAATATCAATGAATTGCTAATTATAAACTTTGATAAGTGCCAGGGGTTACTGCTGTGAAAAACAGACAAAAATCCCTGGTTTTACAGAGATTGCTTTCCAGTAGGGGAAAGGAGGAAACAGACCAAATAGAGTGTTAATATATGGGTGGGCAGAATGGACTGCTTTAGAGAGGATGGTCAGGGATGGCCTCTTAGTTATCTAGTGCAGCTGTAACAGAACTATCACAAGTGGATGGCTTTAACAACAAATTTATTTTCTCACAATTTAGGAGGCTAGACTTTCAAATTCAGGGTGTCAGCTCTAGGGGAAGGCTTTTTCTCTGTTGGCTCTGGAGAAAGGTCCTTGTCTCTTTACCTCTTTCCCTGTTCCTTGAAGATCTCCATGTGGCTTGACATCAGTCTTCCCCCATCTCTATTCTCTAACTGGCTTCACAACTCCTACACTAATCCTGTTTTATTAACGTAACAAAGACACCCCATTCCCAAATGGGATTATAACCACAGGCATAGAGGTTAGGATTTACAACACATATTTTTGGGGGACACAGTTCAATCCATAATACCTCCTTAAGGTGACATTTAAACAGATTAAACACTGAGTAAAAGCTAGGGATGCAAAGAGCAAGGGAAGAGCATTCCAATCCGAAGGACAGGTTGTACCAAGTTCCTGAAGCATTTCTGGCCTATTTGATGAACTGAAAGAAAGCTGGATCATAGTTGAGAAAGGGAAGGCAGTATGAAATAAAGTTAGAGAAGTAGGTGAGGCCTAGTTCATACAGGCAGCCTTGTAGACCACAGTAGAACGGTTGACTTATTCTAAGAGCATCAGTGGAAAGCCAATGAATTATTTTAAATAGGGGTATGATAACGATGATTGTTTTTAAAAGGTCACTGGAGACAGGAGTGGAAATGAGAGGCCCACTTAGACTATTGCAGTAATTCCTGCTGGAGATAATAGTGGTTGGATTAGGGTAGTTCCAATGAATATGGAAAGAATTTGGGGAACATTGAGTTTGAAATGCCTTTGAAGTGTCCAGGTGAAGAAATGTCAAGAAAACAGTCTGGAATTCAGGTGAGAAGTCTAGACTGGAGATTTAAATTGGGGGGTGTGTATCTAGGTCCCTGAGTGGCATCAAATGTTTGCAGTCAACTACTAACCTAAAGATTGGCAGTTTGAACCCACCCAGAGCACAGCGGAAGAAAAGACCTGGTGATCTGCTTCTGTAAAGATTACAACCAAGAAAACCCTATAGAGCAATTCCACTCTAATACATGGGGTTGCCATGAGTTGAAATTGTGACTCAACAGCGACGGGTTTGGTTTTGGTTTTTTTAGCTCCCAAATTAGTCAGTTTTGGCCCTTATCATCTCTCACATGGACTGTGACAGTAACCATCTAAACCCTAAAGGACTGGTCTACCTCATATCTCTTCTCATTCAATCCATTTATCCCTACTTAACTCCAGGGTAATCTTTCTGAAAAAGCAAATACAATGAAGTCACTGCCCTAAACAAATCTTTCAGTGGCTCCTAATGTATCATAGCAGTATTTTTGAAACTATTTCTAAAAGGCACCTCAGGGATACAGAAGTATTTGCTTTTGGGTCTTTGTGACAGGGAGAAGAAAGATTCAACCAGAATAGTTTTTTTTAATTGTAATCAATTCTTTCAATTTGCAACTCTGTGAGCATCACATATATCCTAGGCATCGGTATTTAGCAGTGAGCCAGACACACGTGTTATGGAATCATTTGTGTCGTTGAAATCTCCTGCCTGAAAACAGTTTGAAAAACAGTTGTCTGTGGGACAAAGAAGGAGCCCTGGTGGCGCAGTGGTTAAAGCACTCGACTGCTGACTGAAAGGTCAGCAGTTGGAACCCACCAGCCACTCTGCGGGAGAAAGATTTGGCAGTCAGTTTCCGTAAAGATTGCCGCCTTGGAAACTATGGGACAGTTTTACTGTCATAGGGTCGCTATGAGTTGATATTGACTCAACGACAGCGGTTTTGGGTTTTTATAGGACAAAATCCAGATGCTGCCCTTGTATGACGTACAGGGTTCTTCCTGATCTGGCATCTGCCTACCTTGGCATTCTGTGTCCTGGCTGTTATGAATTATTTGCTCTTTCATGCCTTTACGCCAGTGTACGTTTTGTTTCCTCTGCTTGGACTGGAGCGCCCTTCTCTTGCTCAGCTCCTTCCTCCCATCTCTCCTCATTCATCTAGAAATCTCTTCTTTTTCTCTAAGTTCTCATCTTGATAAGAGATGGAAATTCATTGGTACTGAAGTTTGCTCTGTAAACCAGTATAAATGATTTATTAGAACTTTTTGTTTGATATGAGAGGGCAGTCGCAGCAGAACTCTGGAATGTATCTATAGGAAGCTTCCTTCCTAGAAATTACTTGGGTTGTGTGAGTAGAAGAGTACGGGCTCCTTTGAAGACACCTGATCTTACGATTTTGCCTAGAATAGCACCTCTCCCTATCCTCACTACACAGACAAATATAAAGTGTAAACAGATCTTTTTTTGTTACTGTCTCACAACACCCCCCTCCACCACCACCAGTTTGGCAGAAACATTTTATGGGATAGATGTGTGAAAGGTATTCCTAGCAAAAGTTCGTTTTGTCACCACTTCATAAGGTATTGATTTACACATTTAAGTTATATACTTAGAACATATGAAAATGTTTGTGTACTAAATATGCAGAATTCTACATTTGCAATTAAATGCTATTGTACAGCAGAAAATGTTTGAACTTCGGGTTTTCAGTCACTTACTTTATAACCATCTGTCTTAGTTATGTAGTGGTGCTGTAACAAATACTACAAGTGGATAGCTTCAACAAACAGAAGTTTATTCTCTCACCGTCTAGTAGGCTGGAAGTCCAAATTCAGAGCATCAGCTCCAGGGGATGGCTTTCTCTCTCTGTCAGCTCTAGAGGAAGGTCCTTGTCATCAGTCTTCCCCACCCCCCATCCCCCATCTAGGAGCTTCTCTGCACAGGACCCTCGGGTCAGGCTGTGCTCTGGGCACTGCTTTCTTGGTGGTATGAGGCCCCATGTCTCTCTGCTCGCTTCTCTCTTTTACATCTCAAAAGAGATTGGCTCAAGACACAATCCAATCTCGTAAATTGAGTCCTGCCTCATTAACATAACTGCCTCACTGCCGCTAATCCAGTCTCATCAACATCATAGAGATAGGATTTACAACACAGAGGAAAATCACATCAGATGACAGAATGGTGGACAATCACACAATACTGGGAATCATGGCCCAGCCAAATTGATACACATAATTTTGGGGGACACAGTTCAATCCATGGCATTCCACCCTTTTGTCCCCCAAAGTTCACGTCCTTGCCACATGTAAAACACATTCATGCCATCATATCATAGCAAAAGTCTTCAATCAGCTCCAAGTCCAAAATCCAAAAATTCTTCCTCATCTGTGAAATCTAGAGTACAAATTATCTGCTGCCAAAGCACAGTGGTAGAACAGGCACAAGGTAGACATTTCCATTACAGACGGGAGAAATTGAAGGGATAACAGGCAGCAAGCAATTCAGCAGATCACCTTACATTAGCCTTCAAGGCTTTGAAAATAATCCTTTGTTCTCTGAGACCATTTACATAATGGCCCTGCCCTCCAGACTCTAGGTGTTGGCCACACTGTCTGGATTCTGAGTGGAGGCCCCTCTGCCCTGGGCTTCAGCTCCGCCTTCCAGGCCCTCTGGAATGGCAACTCTGCTCCCTCTGCTTTAGGCGCACCATTCTCCTAGTCCATTTGAGTGGCAGCTCCACCCTTAGAAACTCCAGAGGCCGTGGCTTCACCCTTTGAGACCCCAGAGGTCGTGTCCATACCCTTTGAGACTGAAGCAGCTCGGCTTCCTGTGTTTCTTGTCTCCAGTTTCTGCTTCCTGGTTCCTTGGCCTCTCAGCCCCTCAGTCACTTACTTTATAACCATCTGTCTTAGTTATCTAGTGGTGCTGTAACAGAAATACCAAAAGTGGATGGCTTCAACGAACAGAGAAGTTTCTTCTCTCACCGTCTAGTAGGCTAGAAGTCCAAATTCAGAGTATCAGCTCCAGGGGATGGCTTTCTCCCTCTGTTGCCTCTGGAGGAAGGTCCTTGTCATCAGTCTTCCCCTGGTCTGGGAGCTTCTCTGCACAGGAACCTCAGCCCAAAGGACACTCTGCTCCCAGAGCTGCTTTCTTGGTGGTATGAGGCCCCCATGTCCCTCTGCTGGCTTCTCTCTTTTACATCTCAAAAGAGATTGGCTCAAGACAAAATCCGATCTCGATCTGTAGTTTGAGTCCTCCCTCATTACCATAACTGCCGCTAATCCCATCTCGTCAACAGCATAGAGATAGGATTTACAACACATAGGAAAATCACATCAGATGACAGAATGGTGGACAGTCACACAGTACTGGGAATCATGGCCTAGCCAGATTGATCCACATATTTTTGGGGGACACAGTGCAATCCGTGCCACCATCTGAGGCATTGGAGAGACCCTTTGGCTAGCAACTCTATAGAACAGGGTAAAACTGCCCCATAGGGTTTCTAAGGAGCGACTGGAGGATTTGAACTGGTGACCTTTTGGTTAACAGCCATAGCTCTTAACCACTGCACCACGAGGGCTCCCATTAAGATTAGTGATATATTTTAGGTCATCTTTCATCAATGAATTCTTGAATTGTTAAATCTGTTGTAATTTTCTATCTGAAAACAGTGTTGCTTGTACTTACTGATTCTGATTTGATGTATTTTCCTTTGGAAAACTTAAATATGGATAATTTGTTTTCTTCTAGGTTTTGGGCGCAAAGATGTAGTTGAATATTTGCTTCAGAATGGCGCTAATGTCCAAGCCCGTGATGATGGGGGACTTATTCCTCTTCATAATGCATGCTCTTTTGGTCATGCTGAAGTTGTCAATCTCCTTTTGCGACATGGTGCAGACCCAAATGCTCGCGATAATTGGAATTACACTCCTCTCCATGAAGCTGCAATTAAAGGAAAGATTGATGTTTGCATTGGTAAGATTTTTTGATTTTTATAATTTCCCTGCATTTGTAACTATTCTGAATCTAGATTGAATTCATTTGTTAATATGGTCAGATTCTGCCAGGCTAAATTTAAATATTTACCAACACTTCATGACTTATTTACTCTACTATTTATTGAGTGTCTTTTGGTGTGTGGCACTGACCTTAACTTCTTTGGAGAATAAAGTACAAAGTTCCTGTTCTCTAGAAACTTGTGTTCTCTTAGGAGATAAGACACACAAAGGACCAGATAAAGGCATAGTGATCAGGGAGTGTTTAGGGAATAATAAGTGCAGTAACTTGGCTGGAGTCAAGTCTCTACTTCCTAGAGTCTTTCCAGGAAAGTAGTGGGAGACAGGTTGCAAAAATAGGTGGGAGTTTGTTTACAAAAAGCTTTAAATTTACGTCAAGGAGCTTGATATTTATTATGTAGGCAGTGTGGAAGGACTGAAGTTTTTGAGGAGGGTAATGGTACGATAAGAGTAGTATATTTTACAAAGAGTAATCTGGTAGGGGGTTAAGTAGGGTAGATAGCATCAAGGAGACTAGTTGGGAAACTAGAGTAACCCAGGTGAGAAACGATGAGGACATGAACTAGAGTTATTGAAGAAGAATAAAGAAGCACTTGAAGGGAACATTTATCAGTCATTTAGAATACTTGAACTAACAAATAAAATTAGGATTTGCTGACAAGTTGGTCACTATGCCAGAAATTTATAATTGAGGAGGCTAGCTGTTTCAGAATTTTCAGTAATCTGGTATTTACTTTTTTGAGCCTACCAAAGTTGGGGATGTTGGACTCATGCTACTTTAGCTCTCTTACTCTGTGAAGCAAAACAGTTGAAACCCTTGAGACAGATAGAAAGCCATCTATATGCCTATGCACTAGGAAAAGTCCAGGGACTCCATGTTGTTGTTAGGTGCTGTGGAGTCAGTTCCCACTCATAACAACCCAATGTGACAAGAGTAGAACTACCCCCACAGGGTTTTCTAGGCTATAATCTTTATGGGAACAGATTGCCAACAGGGGCTCCATATTAGACAAATCGTCCCCCCAAAAATCCCAAATCATTATTCATATCAAAGTCATCAGCTTAAATTAGGAAATTTCTGAAGATACAAAACATTATCTAGTTACCTCTGCCCAATTTTTCTTTACCGTTTATTATATTAAGTTCAAATTACCTTCTGCTCAAATCTACTCTTTGTACCACTTCTGTTGATCACTTTATTCAGCTTATGGGGAGATTATGATTGATGACCTTATAGAATTTATTGAAACATAAGGAGTCTACCTAGTTTGTTTTTTTTTAAGAATTTACCTGTGTGATTTTTTAATCACACAGATCCCTATTCCTCGGCTATCTATAGTTTTAGAAATTTCATTTCGTTATGATAGAACAGTCTTTGTAACACACAGTGTTCTTTTGGAAATTTGATGGAATGAGAAAACAAGCTTTCAAGCAAACTTGCATTTTCTTACACATTTTTATGTGTCCTTAGTCACTTGTCACCAGCTCTGTAGGTAGCAAAGGAAAATCTGGCATTGAACTTACGGGGAAACTTGTTTAATGTGTCTGTGTTAGTGCATTAAGGAGCCCTGGTGGCACAGTGGTTAAGCGCTCGGCTGCCAACCAAAAGGTTGGCTGTTCAAACCCACCAGCTGCTCTGCAAGAGAAAGTTATGGGGCAGTTCTTCTTTGTCCTTTAGGATTGCTATGAGTCGGAATTGACTCAACAGTAATGAATTTTATTTAGTGCATTAAATACTGGAATGTCTTAAATACTGTTGTCTTTAAAATACAACACCATACTATCAGGCTATGAAGTGTCTTTAAGCAACTTTGAGGTGACTTCTGGACAAGAATATTCGAGAAAATTTTTTACTAAAATCAGATTGTCATGATTACCATATGGAAGGTGGTGTTGCTATTTTGCAGTACTCTTACAGCATGGAGCTGAGCCAACCATCCGAAATACAGATGGAAGAACAGCATTGGATTTAGCAGACCCGTCTGCCAAAGCAGTGCTGGCAGGTAAGTCTGTGTACTCGCTTTGGTTATTGCAGGAAGGTTATAAAGAACAAGCTGCTAGGTAGACAGTCCACCTCCTGCGGTTAATGACCTCAACTAGATTTTTAAAGTAGTGTCAGTCAGTTGCCATTTTTTTTCCACATCTGGACAGTTAACATTTGATTCTTGTCTAAGAAATGTAAAGTTTTGTTTTTTTCTTTATATTGGTATTTAAATTTGTCATTGCTACCTTGGGGGATGAGCAGAGAGTGATAGATAATTGTGTTACTGTCATGTATTCAGAATATTTTTTAAGTTCTTGAGTTTTCCAGGTAACTTATGCTTACCCCTTAATATACTGTTCTTTTTTTTTTAGTTGATAATTTCTGATAGAATCCTTTCAAAGAGCACTAACCATTCTCTTGCTTTTTTAAAGAGGGTGAAGAGTGCCAATTGTATTCTGCTATAACATATTCACATCCTTGGGACCTATTAAGATATGTAAGGCTGTTCTCTATATTCATTTTAGAATAGCAAGCTTTACTGAGTTGTATCTATTTCACGTTTCTCCCTTGTCAGCGTGCTTTCCTATTAAGCAGCTCTCTGCCATAGTTTTTACTGGATTCTTACCTGCCACGAGGTGGACTTTACAATATGTGTAATGTAGTAGGCAAAAGCCTGAGGTATCCTCCTGTGAGCTTTTTGTGCTTGGGCTTTGTGATGTTGCTTCAGAAAATTTAGACTAGTTCCCCAAAAGACTTCTAGAAACATGAGCTATTGTATATCTCAATTCAGTGTTCATTTTTTCCTTCACTATTCCATGTTTTTACCTTTTTAAAAAATTTGGGGGCTCAGAAGAAGCCTTGTCCTGGCAATCGATACGCAATTGTCATTGTGGGCAGCAGTTTGGATTTGGTTTCAGCAGAACAATCAATGCTGTCTGTTATATTAAACTATGTTCCTTTAAATTGTATTGATTTTTATAGTTTTTGCATTCATTTATAAGTATAAAAGTTATAAACATGGTAGCAGCTGGGTGGCGGGAGGAGCCGTTATGGATTAAGTCTGATGAAGATGACAGTCTCCCTGAAGTACTGAGACTTTGTGGCAGAGCCCATGGGGGAAAAGAGGGACCTGGCTGAGATTGGTGAAGTCTTAGGCAAGAAGCTGGAGGAAAGGGGCTTTGACAAGGCTTATTCAGTCCTTGGCCATTTAAAGAACGGAGAAGACCTCCTCCAGAAATGGCTCAAGGACTCGTGCAGCGCCATTGCTAAGCAGTCCTGGGACTTCTTTGGGTGCCTTTGAGAGTGGTGCCACGCCTTCTAGTGATGCTCTCCAGGGACCCCCCCTGGCCCCAGCATTGAGTCTCCAGAGTTTGCAGCTGAGTGGGGTCTCCTCCCCTGTCCTTTACAAAGGAAAAGATTGCTGTTGTCATACCTCCAGCGTACTCCAGGGTCTTGTGCGAGTTCTCTCCCCTCACCATTTTAACTTTTTTGGAATTCTCGCTCTTGCCATGTGTTCCCCTTCCTTCTCCTTTCCATGCCAGTTCCATGCTGACAGTTTCCCAGTTTTCTTGAGTGGATTCTCGGCCCCTCCCCTCACTCTTGCCCTTACCTCTGGTCGGTTTTATGCCATTTGGCACCTTTTTTTGGCAGAGTAGTCATTGTTGATGTAAAGTTTTTTAAAAACAGTAAAGTCAGTGGCCTTCAAAAAAGCAATAGAGAGTTTTATTTAATATTTTTTAAAATATTTGTAGATATTTAAACTACCATTATGAAAAAAAACAGTGTTTAAAAATATTCTGGATTCATAGAAATGTTAATGATTGTGTTCAATCGGTGATACTTAGATTATCTTCCATCATTTCTGTAACGCGAGTATATTGAGTTTTGCATTGTTTTGCTTTTGAAAGAAGTTATTGATGCATTTTGTTCCAAAAATAACATACTTATTTTAGGAATTTTGAGAAGAAAAAAAGAAAAGAAAAGCTTGCCCATAATCCATATTTCCTTCTGAGCTTTCTTTTTTTATATAGTTGTCATCATACTTCATTATGTAACACTGAATCATTCCTTTTTTCACTTACCATAATAAAGGTATTCCATGTTCATAAATGTTTTTAAGCTGCATGATATTCTAAGTAACCATTTTCCATTTGTTGGAAATTTATTTCCAAATTTAACTACCTTAGCTATAGTTCAGTGAACATCTTTGTGCATAAAATTGTCATTAATTACATTAATTTTTTTAAATTTCCACTAATTTTTTTTTTTTCCCCCTAATTCTTAGGTGAATATAAAAAAGATGAACTCTTGGAAAGTGCCAGGTGTGTACTAATGTTATAAATATGCACCATGAGTACTTCATCATTTAAAATTTTTCTTTACAATAAACTTTTAAGAGAGAATAATGTTTTTTAATCAGCACATACATGTCTCCAGGAAGGATCTGATAAAGAATACCAACTGCTAATGTATTTTTTTGTGTTCTAGGAGTGGCAACGAGGAAAAAATGATGGCTTTACTTACACCGTTAAATGTCAATTGCCATGCAAGTGATGGCAGAAAGGTACTTCCTTTTACAACTAGATTTGTGCTCATCTTGTGTGCTCATCTTCTGGTACCATGAAGATGCATTTATCTTATTATAAATTAAAACATGTTTGAAGAGAGTGCTGATGTTTTCTTTTAAGCAGTACTTGAGAATTAATTGTTAAACTTCAGTAAAACTTCATTGATAATAAACATTTAGTTCTTTGCATCTTATGTGCAGTAGTGAATTTATAAACTTGCATACTGGGACTTCAGTGTGTTGGAGTTTGTAAAACCAAATTGATAGCAACTGTTGTTGTTGAGAATATACACAGCAAAACATGCACCAATTCAATAGTTTCTACATGTACAAGTCAGTGACATTGATTACATTCTTTCAACTTGTGCAACCATTCTCATCCTCCTCTTCTGAGTTGTTCCTCACCTGTTAATGGTACCAACTATTTATTTAGGCAGTGATGTTTAAGTTTTTTTTTTTCCTGGATTGTCTAGTTTTATATTTGGGTTTTTACTTTTTCATACATTTTTAAAAGTCAGTATTATTTGACTTTTATTAATTTACTTAATGTAACATTTCAGTCAACTCCATTGCATTTGGCGGCAGGATACAACAGAGTAAAGATTGTACAGCTGTTACTGCAACATGGAGCTGATGTTCATGCTAAAGACAAAGGGTAAGCATTTGAACAAACATTAGGACTTCTTAAATGTTATTCTCCTTATAAAAGTCTTTGTGGCCTCATAAAAATAATTTCATCATATTTTTTACTTGACAGCATAAAGTTAACATTTATTGAGCTTATATAATATGTAGATTGCTCTGAGGATACAGGTAATTATAAAACGTTTAATCCCACCACTTATGGAGCTTACACTACAGTTTAGGAGGCATGAAAAGACATCTAACAATACAGGGAGTACTCTACTAAGTCCCAGGTGATAAATAAACAGGGATAGTACTATAGGAGTTCCTGGGAGGCAATTGGCAGTGGTGGTCTGGGAAAGCCTTCAGGAGGATGTAATACTTGACCTGGACCATAAAGGCAGGCTCAATTTAAGAAGGCAGAGAGTATGGGGAACGTCAGTCTGTGAAGAAAATTGCTTTGAATGAGGGTGCTAAAACACATAGTACAGCAAGTTTAGGAAACAGTGATTAGACCAGCTTGGCTGAAGCAGATGATTCACATAGGGGAGAAATGAAGGTTAGGGTTAGAGTGATAAGTAAGAAACAGGCTCTAGAGAACTTGGTTTTCCAGCCTAAGGAATTTAAACTTCATTCTCTGAGCCACAATAACTATTGGAGGATCTTAAGCAAGGGGAATGATAACATGCCAAAAAAAAGTTTTAAGAGGAGCATTCTGACAGCATTGTGTAGGGTAGACTCAAGAGGGAGGAGACGAGAGGCAAAAAAGAGCAATTAGGTGAGGAATCATGGATTCAGGTGTGCTATGGATCTGTAATGGTGACAGAAGAGGTGCCACCAAAAATGGAAATAAAGTATGGATGCAAGAGATATTACAAAGAAAGAAGGATAAGATTTGTTGAATGTCTGGATGTGATGAGAGAGAAAGGAATAAAAAGATAACTACATTTCAGACTCTAGGCTGAAAAAGTGGGACCCAATGACACACACACTGTCTTAGGCTGGGTTCTCTAGAGAAGCAAAACCAGTAAAGTGTATAAATATATATACAGAGAGAGATTATATCAAGGAAACAGCTCACGTGATTGTAGAGGCTAGAACGTCCCAAGTCCGTAGATCAGGGTAGAGGCCTCTCCCAAGTCACACAGCTGCAGAAGCTGGCAAGCCCAAGATCGGCAGGTCGGAGAGCAGGGCTCCCACTCAACAGCTGTGGAGATCAACGAATCCCAAGTTCGGCAGATAAGCTGACAGCTCAAGTCCCAAGAACTGGAGATGAGACGACAGGAAGCACCGCAGGATCCAGAGAGAGCAAAAAGCCAGAATGTCTGCTTATATACAAATGCGGCCCACACCCCCAAGGAGACTCCCTTTCATCTGATTGGCTACTCACAGTATATTCAGTCATGGGAGTGATTACATTAAAACACGGAGAATCATGGCCCAGCCAAGGTGATACACCATCTTAACCATCACACATACTGAAACCCAGGAAGGAAAATTGTTTTTGGGGAAAACATGTTGAGTTCACTTTTAGAAGTCTTGGTTTTATGAGACGAAGATGGGAATTCAGATGGAAGTGTCTAGTAGATAGTTGAGGATGAAATTGATGTTTAAGAGAAAGTAAGGAATCATGAGCAAAAATAGTGAGGAAAGCCATGAGCCTTTAAAGAGAGATGACATGGAACTAAAGACTAAACTGTGGGGAGGCCATCATGATGGTGGCCATAGTAATTGGTCAGAGATCCCCGAAGGGAGGGAGTAGCTTAAAAATAGAAGTTAGAATTTAAAGGTCCTGCTTAAAATTTAAGATCCTACGCATATAAGAAATTCTTCATTTACCATTGTGAATGAATTAGGTTTCAGTTTATTAAGGAATATAGCAATTTACCTTACAGGATCTCAGAAAAACTTTCAAAGAAGAACCAGTATTTGAGCTCTGAGTCTGGAAAAGATAATGTGGAAGTAAACCAGACCAAAGGAGAGAGGGAAATCTATCCTGCACCCGGGTAGCAGTATGTATAGAGACATTCAAGGAATTACAAGTGGTTTTGCATGCCATTACTGAAGGGTGAGGTTAAAGAGGGTCAGATTATTGTGTGCCACGCTAAGAAGTTGGAATGGTCTCTTGAAAGCATGGAAGAACCACTGAAGAATTTTAAAACAAGGAATAACCACGAGAGTCACCTTTTAGAAAAATCTGGCTACAGCTTGAAGGATAAATTGGAGTGGAGGCTGTTTTGCTAGTACAGAGGAAAAATAATACAGGCCCAACTCAAGCAGCGGCAGTAGCAGTGGAAACAAAGGAGACGGTTTGAGAGAGATTTGGGAGTTAGAACGTTAGCACTTAGATTTCAAATGGATGTTATTAAATTTTACACATTTTTATTAGAAGGTCACATGAGCCATTTGCTATTTCAGTTTAAGAGTAAATTAAAATAGGCCTTGTTGTTGTTGTTGTGTACCTAGGAAATATGAAATAGCACAGATGTGTTTTCCCTTCTCATATTCTAGTGATCTGGTGCCGTTACACAATGCCTGTTCTTATGGTCATTATGAAGTAACTGAACTTCTGGTCAAGGTAAGTTCTCTTGTACCTTTCTAATAATTATTTTCTATAATTATGTGAAATTATTTGAAATATATCTTACCTATTTTTTTCTGTGTTTTTTGTGCTTGGTTGATATAGATAGAATATAATCTTTATAAAATACAGGTGATTGATAGGTTAGCATCTGACTGCTTTTAAGATTTTTGAGATACCGTAAGATTTTAAATATAAAGTAGCACTACCATCTTGAGAATAGCAGATCAAGTGATTCTATAATTTGTGGCTGATGTGAAGTTTCAAAATTCTTGAAAACTAATAGCAACAACCAATTTTTAGTGAATCATAGATTATAACCATCAGTTATATTTGCAAGACTTGTCCGGTTATACTTTGGGTTGGAGCAGGCTCACTTGGTAAGCTTCACTTCTTTAAATGTGCTGGACAGCTATTGTTTCACAGACAAGTCCCCAGGGCTGGCAAGAAACTTCTTATTTTGACTCCTGTTAGGTGAGAATAGAAGGTATATATTCTCTTTGAGAGTGGATCCAAGGATGTTACCCACATGCTTCCATTCTGTCTCTCAGTCTCTGTCTATGTATTTGCCCAACTGCTGCCCACACTCTTGAGACCTCTCTTACCAGGCACCCAGTCTGCCCCTTCAGTGCTTTTCCTCAATCTCTTAGCAGCTGTCATGGGAAGGGAAAGGACAGTTGTTTCTGATGCCTCTTTGCTTATGGTCATCTATGACCACAGAATACATTTTCCCATGGAAACAACTTAACAAATAGCAAGTTGATAACTCTGAGTAGCTCATAAGCCTTTTTAAATTTATTATGTGGCCACAGTGTGATACATTTGTAGCAGTAATGCCTTTGCTTGTTGTAAAACTGAATCTTGAATTCAGCAGAGCATTTGGAATATTTTATAGATGAGAGTGAAACATCATACAGATTGTACTGGGATTTACAGACGACTGAATGGTGTTTTCTTAAGACCTAGTGTTTAACTAAAGAATGGGAGACAGACTACAGGTCATATGGAGAGAGGAGGTTAGCTCACGTGAGAGCACAGGCAGTTATCAAAGTAGTCAAATTCAGGAAAGTCAGGAGAAAGCAAGTAGAGGCAGAGGTTCTGAAATTGCCTCTGGTAATGTAGGCAGAGGGGTTCTGGGCAATACTGAGTCATTTGGCAGAAGCTGGCATTTAACAGCAAATGTTCAATGATTGCTTTTCATGAACAGGGCACTGTGCTAGGTGTGAAGGGTACTAAGACATAGTCCCTAGTCAAGGTGTTCAAATAAGGTGTAGCACAAGAATAACAAGAAAATCTCTTAACTTTCTTCTTCCTTATAGCCTCTAAGTACAAGGACACAAGTAGATTTTTCTAGATAGGAGATAAAATCTATCAGGTAGATTTCTAGTTAAACATCTGTACAGAAAGTGTTGATTGGTGTTTCTCAGCTTGAAAGGGAATATTGGAACTTCTTATGGATGCTACAGGGTCTATCTTTGCCTTTCTCTTGGTGCACATTTTTATTATTGACTTGATAAACAGAAGAGATGCTTCTAAAATACGCAGATTAACAGGAAGCTGGGAGGGATGACTAATATTCAGATTGATAGAATCAATTAATGATATACACAATAATATGAATGAACATCAGAAATGTGCATGAAAGAAGCTACACACAAAAGGTGCATACTGTATATCTTAATTTGGGTGATGGTATCACTTGTCAAGCCTCATCAAACTGTACTCTTAAGAACTGTGCATTTTACCATATGTAAACTATATTTCAGTAAAAGAAAAGCTGCAGGTTAAATCCAAAGCTTTATTCTAAAGCTTTTATTCTTAACAATAAAAGAGTTAAATAGGCCTTTGTAGGCAGGCCTAGCAACCACCTACTGTTTTTCCTTGGAGGAAAAATGTATCTCTTTCTGAACTAATTGGCTTAGAAAGTGAACTTTGGGAACATAATCTATTTAAGCTTGCATAATGTTTTTAAAATTGAATGCTAAATATATGCGCTTTTTCCCCCCAGCATGGTGCCTGTGTAAATGCAATGGACTTGTGGCAATTCACTCCTCTCCATGAGGCAGCTTCCAAGAACAGGGTTGAAGTGTGCTCTCTTCTCTTAAGTTATGGTGCAGATCCAACACTGCTGAATTGTCACAATAAAAGTGCTATAGATTTGGCTCCAACACCACAGTTAAAAGAAAGATTAGCATGTGAGTATAAAATGATGAATGTTCAACTAGGATATTATACCAGTAAACTAAATTTTTTTTCTTTCCTATTTGCTTTTTAGAAATGTTTAAATTATAGAATATTTTCCTTAGCTGTGAGTATCCATTGTTCAGACTAACATATTTTATAATTTGGAAGTTTCTGCTTATTCACAATACTCTTAAGATGCTATAAAAGAAAAAATTTTTTTCAAGTCAAGCTGTATACTTTTCATATGTATTGATTTTATTATAGATATGTTTTTGAAATGAAGACATTTGTGTTTTATTCCTGTTTTTGAAATGACTTTCTAGTTAATCTGCCATCAAAGTAAAGTGTTATTTGTAGGATTGGTATCTTGTAAACATAGTCCCCAGATCTTAACATCTAATATTCTTTGGTACTTGAGCAAAGGTCTGTGATTTTCTATCTATAACTGAAATAGATGTAGTGAGAAATAGCCCTCTAGCTCAGATATAGTATTATCACACGTAAATAAGAAACTTCTATTAGACTTGGCATTATTCTAAAATAACAGAGGATAATGAATGGTTTCACAATAAAAGAGAAGAATCTCAAGATCATCAGCAGGTGAGTGTTGTTGGAAATATCCAACTTGTCTAGTCCTCAGTTCTCTGAGAGGTGTGAGCAAAACCATCTGCTACTGTCATAATGTTAGTGTTGGGGTCATGATTACCCTCCATTTCATTTCTTTACTGAGAAACATTCTGTGCTTTGGAAAGTTCTCAGAACTCTCTGGGCTGGGATTATATCACAGTACTCCAGATATCTTCAGGCCAGTTATGACTTAGAGTAGACCTTGAATCTGCCATGGGCTAAATCTGTGTATAGATAGTCCGAGATTTATGATGGGGTTCCATTGCGATGACTCTGTTGTCAGTCAGTTCTGATGTAAGTCCAGTACTTCCTTTTTTTTTTTTTTTAGTTTTCATTATTATTGCCTTTTATTATCAGTATCTTTGTAAATCTGATCTTTATTTGTCTTTGGGGGTTGTAAATGTTGCATATAAACTTACAGATATGGTGACATCAGCAAATTACAGGTTGCAGCATTGTGTGTAGTATATATTACTAACAATAGGTTGTACCCCCCCCAAAAAAAACGGAGAGTTGTGAGTACAGTTTGTCATAACTTGAATACGTTGTAATTCAGGCACTGCCTGTATACACTTGGGGATGAATTTGGTCATACCTGAGGAAAACTGGAATACATACCATTGTCTCTATTTTCAGGGCTTATATTTGGAGAGTATCTTTAGATCTGCCTATTGTGGCATATTATTTTGAAAATTTCAAGGAAAATGCTTGTGTTTTATACTAAGTAAACTCCATCAGTTTGGTAATTCTCATGCAGATTTAAATGTTTTTTCTACATCTAGATGAATTTAAAGGCCACTCATTGCTGCAAGCTGCACGAGAAGCTGATGTTACACGAATTAAAAAGCATCTCTCTCTGGAAATGGTGAATTTCAAGCATCCTCAAACGCATGAAACAGCATTGGTATGGTGAACTAATCATAATGTCCTACTTTTTCTGATACAGAATCATAACGTGTACTACTTCTATTAATAGCATTGTTTTAAAAATCTTTGCTTTTTAAAAATGTTAAATTAATACCTGCACGTATAGGAAGAAAAAATTTCAAACAGTACAGAAAAATAGACAACTTACCCCTCCCCCATTATTATTAGAACATCTTTCTAGAAAAAAATTTTATTCATATACTGGCATATATTACATGTTACTTTTGTATCACAGATGGTATATATCATTTGCTTTTTTTGTATTATAAAAAGTATAAAGGCTTATAGTAGAAAATTTGGAACCTACTGAAAATAATGAAAAAAAAAAAAAATCCCACCATCCAGATAAAAACCACCTGATGTTTTTCCTTCCAGTATTGCATTTTTTTTTTTTTTTTCGTAAAATTAGATCTGAAGTCTGTATATCTCCTCTCTACTGTGTGAATAAAGTATCTGGATCAGTAGAGGCTGCTTCGCTGATAGAGATAATAATAACTCTGTGGACCTATAAGAAAGTAGGCGAGAGTAGGAGAGTCTAAGGAAAGACAGAAAAGAATGGAAGCTAGGAATGATAACTGATGGAGCATAGGAGAGGGAACGGTGTACTCAGCAAACCAGAAAACCAATCCCGTTGCAGTAGAGTTGATTCCAGCTGCCCCATAGGGTTTCCAAGGCTATAATCTTTATGGAAGCAGCCTGCCAATCTTTCTCCCTCGGAGCAGCTGATGGGTTTGAACTGCTGACTTTTTGGTTAGTAGCCAAGCACACCCACTGCACTACCAGGGCTCTGGTGTAATCAGAGGCTACCTTAAAATTAGAAGTTTAGAAGGAAAAAGGTAAGTCCTGTTGTATGAATTGTAGAATGTGCTTTGGGTGAGGGAAGATGGTCTGAAGTAAATTAATGTGTTCAGGAGCAGCTTTAATTCATGGTAGCCAAACTTACCTAATATTTTTTATGGTAATTTTCTTTCCTTATGTTATGATGTAAACTATGTGAAGTTTATATAGAAATCTATCTACAAAATGTTTTGGACTTTTTTGCTACTTGTAGAAATAGCCAAGAAAAAAAATAGCAAAGCTTCAGACTAATAAGAAATGCTAATGCAAAATAAAAATTATAACAGCATCAGATCAATGTCAAGACTTGTACAGAGGAACTGGAGATGGCACTGACATTGTGAAAACGTTTCTGGTCTGAAAAGCTAATACTGCATGTTATTTTCTCCTAAATATTCTGCTATGAAACAACTCGTTATTAACCTTAAAATATACCAGTAGTTAGATATTAGTAGGTAGTAATGGCGCTAGGGAGGTTTCTTCCAGGTTTCTGGAGATTACAGGCCCTACCCCAGGATGGCGGAGAAGCGGGTATAATTTGAAAAGCATATGATCCAGAATTTTTTGAAATAAACTTTTTCCATTCTCTGTGTGATCTTGATAGACTCCCTGATATGGTTACCCTTAACAGACCAAAGGAGCTATGTTCACCAATTGGAAATGGTTTTATTGCAGTTAAAGGTATGATTGTGGTGATGGCCACATCAAAAAATGAATCTGAAGTAAAGTCATTGCGACGCTGTTGTCACTAACTGTACTGTTAAAGGGGCAAGATGGGAAAATCCCAACTTAATCACTAACTGCCTGGCAAGGATCAGTATGAGTCTAATTCCCACCTGGAAGTGGATCCAGGCTTCACCTTCCTACGTTTTCAAGATCTTCATTGCCAACCACTTTTTCTTCCGTGGCACTTCCTCTCTCACCCTAACCACCCAGAGTTAGGTCAGACATTCCTGACCACACAAGGCTGGGTCATTGAGGACCAGAAGTAGTCTCAGGAGTCTGCACAACTCCCTGCACTTTAGACCAGCCAGCCCCTTTCTCTTCCTCTAGTCCCCTGGGGCTAAGTAACAAGCTAGAAGGACTCCGTCCTTCATAACTACCAGTGTAGCCTTTCTCTGCCACCCAGCCATTCAAAGCTAGTTTCTCTGGAGTTTAGCCTGTCGTTAACAACTGCTTACAGCCCTCCTCTGAACTAGCCACCCTGAGCTAAGTCAGAATCCATTGCGCATTGCCCCTTGTGAGTTTGTTTATCCTCTATAACAGCTCACAAAATTTATAGGCTATTACCGTACTTACACTTACCCATTTATTATATAGAAAGGATATATATTATTATATAATATATTATATATATATATATATATATAAAGGATATATATTATATAGAAAGGATACAAGCAAAGAGACATACCATCAAGGTCTGGGAGAGTTCCCCACATGGAGCCTCCATTGTCCCCAGGGAGGTGCCCCCCTCTCCCATTGATGCATATTCTTACCAATCCAGGAGACCCCAAAGAGAGAGCTCCAAGATCCAGGGTCACTTAGTCATTGAAGCATCAATGAATATGCATGACTGGGACCTTACTGCAAAGTTAAGTCATTTGGCCTTCAATGAATATGCATGACTGCACCATGCTCCCCTCCCTTTCTGAAGTTAAGTTGCCAAGTGTGGGGCCTGTGTAATCCCTACTGCCGGGCTATGTTAGAAAGACAAAGAGCACCCTAATTGCTTGGGCTATTTTCAGAAAGGAGCCCTGGTGACACAGTGGTTAAGCCCTTGCTGCTAACGGAAAGGTCAGTAGTTCAAACCCGCCAGCCTCTCCATGGGAGAAAGATGTGGCAGTCTGCTTCCTTAAAGATTTATAGCCTTTTAAAAAAAAAAAATTTACAGCCTAGGAAACCCTCTGGGGCAGTTCTATTCTGTCTTACAGGATTACTGTAAGTCAGAATCAACTCGATGGCAATGGGTTTGGGTTTGGTTTTTTTATTTTCAGAAACCATATGTTGTTAGGTGCCGCATATGACAGAGTAGAACTGCCCTACAGGTTTTGTTGACTGTAGTCTTTACTGAAGCAGATCACCAGGTTTTTCTGCTGTGAAGAGGCTGTGGACTCAAACTGCCAACCTTTCAGTTAGCAGCCGAGTTCTTAACCATTTGCACCACCAGGGCTCCTTGAGAAACCAGATACAAAAGGCCAAATTTAGTTCTTTGTCTCAGTGTCATGAAGATCAAATAAGCTTAATGATTAACAGTAGGATAAAATCAGGAAAGTTTCATGTGTATTGTGTATTTAGGTATGTAGAACGGCGTAGCTAAAAATTGTGCAGAACCTTTATTCTATGATTCACAGGTTTCAGTTTTAACATATCTATATTGATTTAGTCATTCAGTCGTTCACATTTATTGAACACCCGTTGTGTATGAGTATTGTCCTGGTTGCCGGGGATGCAAAGATGTGGACCATGACCATAAAATACTTAGTAGGTTTATAACTGACGAATCCCGTTTCCTTTCCTCCTTGGTCATCATAGACATAGGTGCTGCAGCCTCCAACTTCAGAGTGTGTTATTTTCTATCATAGATTTTGCCATGTAGGTAGTCAGTCCAGTGTCCTTATTCTGCTGGAGCAACTAATTGAGAGAGGTGTAAATACTACTCATTTTGTCAGCTATTACATCAGTGCTATTACCAAGCGAAGTCCAGAGCTGTTGAGCGCTATGTTATTTTTTCATGTAAAGAAACCCCAGCCCTTTGGGTTGTTGTCTTTAACCTTTAAAGAGTAACATATTAAATACCTTGCTATATGGAAACAGTTTTGAAAGAGGTGTTGATCACATCAACTTAGGGTTTCATCATATCAGTAGTGGCTTTTTCAAAGATCCAGGACAACTATAGCTTTGATCAAAATATTTGATAACAGGTATCATTTGGTAGCTAGGATTTTCAGGCCCTGTCAGAATTTGATAATTATTGTACATTCTATCCAATCAAAAGTCTTTCAAGAGCAAAGTTAGGTCAAAAACAAAAGAAGTTAATAACCTTTTGAATGTCTTAATTGGAAACACAAATGTTCTTACTAAAAATGACATGTATAGTCCTTGATTAATGCTGCAATTTAAATCATTTAGCATTGTGCTGCTGCATCTCCATATCCCAAAAGAAAGCAGATTTGTGAATTGTTGCTAAGAAAAGGAGCAAACATCAATGAAAAGACTAAAGAGTAAGTATATTTTTAATAATTAAATATTATTGACATTTTATTTTCTAGAAAATACATTCGTTGTCTGGTTGACTTTCTCTCTTTAAGATTCTTGACTCCTCTACACGTGGCATCTGAGAAAGCGCATAATGATGTTGTCGAAGTAGTGGTGAAACATGAAGCAAAGGTATACTTCCTTTTTGGTAATATTTGAGTAAATCCATTGAGTTATTTTCTGTTTAGCAAATGAAATGCCTGACTTCCTGAACTATTACTGTTGTGTTACTTTTTTCCCTCTTGATCTGTACTTAAAAATAGTACTGCAGATGCTTTTTCTGTGTCTGATTCTTTGCTGAAAGCCTATTGATTTACACAAAAATGCATCACTCCTATATGTCGTTCCTCCGCTGTTCATTTTAACCACACTTCACTGGTCAAATTAGCCTTAAGGCCTTTTTTTTGTTTAACAGTACACACTCTTCAGAATATCTCCAGCTAAGACATACTGGCTCTGACCTATTTTCCAGTATTCTTTTGTCTCTCATATCTATATCCTCTTCTACTGCATGGTTACCAGGATAACTCCTGTTATTTACCCCAACCACAGTGTTACTCATTCCTCCCTTATTTCTGTGACTAAGCCAAAGAACTTGAAACAAAAGAAAATAAATTATTTAAATAATTTGACTAAAAACATTATAGCTCCCATGTTGAGAAGTTACTCTTCTTTTATTGGCATTTATGCACATAGCATTTTATTCATAGAATAGTTTCCTCAAAACTAGAAATCATCATTTCTTACCCAGGAACTCAGTAAAAGATATACATAGTATCTTCAGATTGGAAGGGATAACAGTCACCTAATTTAGTAGTTGCCACAGTTTTTGCCACAGATCCGTGCTTTCTTCAGACAAAATCTTTAGTAGAAATTCAATACATAACAAAGAATGGAGCTGTTCCGGATGAAGGGAGAAGAAAAGGAATAGAGATCCTTAACTCTTAGGTGGCCTCTGAGGCACTTCCCTAAGTGGGCTTTGCATGATAGTTTGGTGATTTGTCCTTCCTTAGGTTCTTTCCTTGGGTTTCCACTCAAGGAACCACTTAAAATTCTACATTTTTTTTGTGTGTGTGTGTGTTGCCTCTCCATGTCCTAATTTCTCTTTGATTTTTGAGATTTCTTGATAATGTGTAATCTTGATCTTTCCTATTGTAAAATGTTGAATAAAATAAAGTTTATTTCTACTTGACTGCTTGGTATATCTCATTTGTCTGTCTGTTCTATAACTTCGTTGATTGCTTTTCTAATAAATGTGGTACATTGCTTGAAGACTATCTGGATGCATATTAAATTTGAGTTGTGAAATCCAACAAAACCATCTTGACTAAGGTGACCAGCCACCCAGGTTTGTCCAGGACTGAGGAATTTCCAAGAACCCAAGGCTTTCATTGCTAAAACCTGTAAAGTCCTGGGCAAACCAGGACAAGTTGGTTGCCCTAATCTTAACACAAAATGGTACTCAAAGTTTTCAAGTGGATGTATCTCACATTACAGTGAGTTTTGGCATGTGAATAAATAAATTGCCTTGAGCATTTTTAATCGATTTCTCAGGTTCTGTAAGCATGGAGACTAGCTATTGGTAGTCAGTTTTAGCTTCACTAAGAAACTCTTGCTGTATTCCTTTCGAAGTATTCTCCAGTCTTGTCAACATGAATTGACCAATGTCTCAAAACACACCAGTGACCACAGGATTAATTTCTCGGTTATGTTTTAAAGAACTATTTACCTGGATGGAGTGGGGAAGGATGAAGTGGGAGGAAGTCTTACAGGTGCTTTATTTTTATTATGAAATTTTTCAAAAATACAGCAAAGTCCCTGTGAGTTGGAACCAACTCGATGCCAACTAACAACACAGCAAAGTTGAAAGAATTTTACGGAGAACAACTATCTGTCCATCACCTAGATTCTGCTACTAAAATTTTAAACTGTGTTGTTTTATTGTATATCTGTCAGTTTATCCGTCCATCAGTGTATCTTATTTTATGACACCTCTCAAAATAATTTGTAGATAATTGCACACGACCTTCTAAATACTTCTGCATGCACATCAACTAGAGTTCAGTATTTGTTTACAGTTTTTCTTTTGATGTAAAATTTACATGCAATGAAATGCGCAAATCCTAAGTGTACATTTGCTGAATTTTGACTAATTGCATGCACCTGAGTAACCAAAATCCCTATCAAGATACAGAACGTTATCTCATGGCGGAGGTAATGCCCCATCCCAGTTACTCTCCACCCCTAGAGGCAACAACCATTCTGATTCTTTTCAGTGTAAATTAGATTTGCCTTTTGTAGAACTTCATATACACAGACTCATATATACTCTCTTGTGTAAGGCTTTCCGCACTCAGCATAATGTTTTGGAGCTTCATCCATGTATCAATAGTTGGTGCCCCTTTTTTGCTGAGAAATTTTCCATTGTGTGAGTATATGTCTATGTTTATCCATACAGATTATATTTTACATAATAAATTTAAGGTAGAAGATTGAGCCAATAGAAGTGTTTTAATGCTAAGTTAGTCACTGGCTTTGTTACTAATTGCCTGTCTTGGGGTTAGTCTCCACATTTCTGGACCACAGAGATCCATAAAAACACATGTATTCAATTTTCTTAGTTATTGTCTAGCTCTAAATATGGTAAATCAATGAATGCTTTAATGCTAAACACAACTGTTATTCAATATCTCACACTTTCAAACCAAAATTGGGTCTTTTTCTAATGTCAGCATTCATGAATTGGTGAATTTATGTTCTAGATTTGAGCAAAAAATACTTGTTTTGGCACTGGATAATAAGCTTAATAAAGAATGATTGAGATTTTTAAATTAGTAACAAGTGCTAAATACATGATTGGATGGTTTTAAGTTTTGCATTGTAGGCTAATTTCAACTTTTTCTCCATTGTTAAGGTTAATGCCCTGGACAATCTTGGCCAGACTTCTCTGCACAGAGCTGCACATTGTGGTCATCTGCAGACCTGCCGCCTACTTCTGAGCTATGGATGTGATCCTAACATTATCTCTCTTCAGGGCTTTACTGCCTTACAGATGGGAAATGAAAATGTACAGCAACTTCTTCAAGGTATTTAATGCTTCCATGAGATAACTTTTAAAAATTTGTTCTTTAATCTTTTCCCAGTTGTTAAATGTAGGAGTTGGTAATAAAAAGAAAATTTTTGAGATTTTTTTGGGGGGGGCTATTTCTTAACTCATATTCAGTGCTCAATTGTGTTAATTATGACTTTTGTTTCAGTAGCATTTTTCTACCTAATTTCTCTTGAGTAAATAGCTGGCTTTAAGTTTTTATCAAGGAAGTTTTTAAGAGTAAGATACAATAGTTGATATTTCTTGTTTTAAAAAAGGAAGACATAAAAAGGCAAGGGGGTTCTTAGTAGATAAATAACACCCTAAATACTGGCCCTGCTTCTTCACTCCTCTTTTAGATCCTTTATATAGAAGGCATGTAGAGTTTATGCAAGGTAAGCAACGATTTGATTTATTAAAACATTTAACCATTGAATGTTCTCGTATTTGTTACATTTAAAATATTTAGGTCAAGTATCTACACTACTGGTGTAAGTTAAACATTTGAGCCTAGAAATCTGGTCCCATAAATTTCTTTGTAATTGTGGTAAGTATATATATAACAAAACATTCGCCATTTCAACGTTTTTTACATGTACGATAAAGTGACATTACATTCATCACGTGCAGTCACCACCACTGTCCATTTCCAAATAGTTCTCAAAAATTTTAAAGTGTGCTTGTCTATATCTCAGGAGCCCTGGTGGTGCAGTGGTTAAGAAGAGCTTTACTGCAACCAAAAGGTCGGCAGTTCGAATCCACCAGCCACTCCTTGAAAGCCCTGTGGGGGCAGTTCTGCTCTGTCCTGTAGGGTGTCTATGAGTCAGAATTGACTCAGCAGCAACAGGTTTGGTTTTTGGTCTGTCTATATCTCTAGCGTTTATTAGAATTTAATGAAGTAGCTTTGATGTCTCAAAGCTCAGATGGGAAGAAACATTACAAGAGTCAAGCCTTTTGTATCTTTAACAATCACCCTTGATGATTCTTATGCCTGCGGTCTGGAAACCACAGTTTGGGAAACACTCATTGAATCGATAAAGACAGATTGATAACAAACTTCTGGGATCTTCCAAAATCGAACTAACTATAAGACTGCTTTCAAGATTCCTGTTACCTCTTCCACATACCACACATCCATTCCAGTGTTGTATCTTACTTTAATTTGCATTTCTGATTGTAAGTTTGGACACACTTTTAATATGTTTGTTGGCTGTTTCTTTTTTATTTTTGTGAATTGCTTATTCATGTCTTCAGCCCATTTGTTGAGGTCTTCTAGGGTATTCTTAAGAACTCCTTATATACTAAATACATGACGTTTATTGCAATATGATTTTTTCCATCTTTGCTTTATATCTTTGTTTAATGCCGTGTTATTGGTGACAGATATTTTTCCAAGTCAATTTTCCTTTTAGGTTTTGACTTTGAAGTGTTGCTCTAAGAAGCTTTTCCATTCTGAGATATAAAAATACTCACCTGTATTTTCTTTTAGTACTTATAAGGTTTAATTTTTTACAGTTAAGTCTTTAATCTATCTGGAGTTTATTTTATTAAAAGGTGCACGGTAGATGTTTTCTTCCTTTTCTTTGAAATCTTAAATGTGCTATAAAAGCATAGAATTTTAGAGCTGGAAATGACTTTAGATATCTTCTGGTCTAACTTCTGTTTTTAAAACTGAAAAAACTCTGAGACCAAGAGCAAGTGACTTGCCCTGTGACAATAGCTAGTTAATGGCAGAACCACACTTGGATCTCTGCCCATTGCGCTCCTAATTTAATACTTTTCTACCGTTCCACATGACTTGCTTATAGAGCAGGCCGCCTTTCATCGTCATTTTGTGTCCCTTTATAGTGCTTAGTCATATTTTATAAACTTTTACATATATAGGTTTATGTACCTATTTCAAAAAAGGTTTTTCCCTCCTGCCGTGAAGATTTCCTACATAATTTACCAAACTATAAAAGAACTTCAGTTTCTGATTTGTTGCCTCCCTTAAAGGCTTTTGGACCTGCCATCTAAACGGAAGTTAATCACCTTTTCTCTCTTTTTAGAGGGCATCCCATTAGGTAATTCAGAGGCAGACAGACAGTTGCTGGAAGCTGCAAAGGCTGGAGATGTAGAAACTGTGAAAGTAAGATATGGTCTTACGTTTTTGCTTACTTAGGGCTTTTTTATTTTGATGCTGTTTAATTAATCTGAACTATTATTGTCAAGAAGAGCACGGTTATTTTTATGTGCCTTGTCTTAAAGGTCAATAAAGCTCATCTAGTTCTGCACAAATAAGGGGCATTGAATAATAAAAATAATGAAAGAAAAAGAATTTTAGTTTCACGTGCATCTCAGTAAGTCACGTTCACATATTTAAATAAACTGCGTGTAAATGGATTTACCATCTACATACCAGATGGATTTTGTTTAAAGCACTTATTCATTTGTCCCTTTAAAAGAAGAAGGTGTATCAAATTATTGTGCATTATTGTTTACATATGACACATAAAACAAGGGGAAAAAAACTAAACCGTAAGCCACTTCTGTCTACACATTTTTTTTGGTTTCTTCATTTCTCTGCCCCACTTTTTTAAAGAGTAAGAATTTTACAATTCAACTAACATGAAATTCATTCTGCATGTTTCATAAATAATTCTGTAATAATTCAGTAATGTTATTTTAAATTCCCTGGTGGCATAGTGGTTAAGAGCTCAGCTGCTAACCTAAAGGTCGGCAGTTCCAATCCACCAGCTGCTTCTTGGAAACCTATGGGACAGTTCTACTCTGTCCTGTAGGGTCACTGTGAATCAGAATTGACTCCGCGGCAACAGGTTTGGTTTTAGTGGGGGAAAAAACCCTTGTTGGGTTTTCTTTTCCTCACAGACTTTTTCAAAACAGTGCACTATTTTGATTACCTGTCGTACTGACAGGTAATAAGTTTTATAACTAGCTAAATCTGTTGATATAATTTATGGCAGAAGTAGCTTTTGAAGCAGTTTCAGATATTTCTGTATGGCATTCTCAATCTTGAGCAAACCCACCCAACAAAGTTAATAATTTTAGATTTTCTAAGAAAGAAGTATGAATGCCGGTCTCATCGGAACTTGAGCTTTGAGGGAATCTATTCACTGTCCTTTTAAATGAAGAACTTTCTGGAAGTTTATTTAAAAATCCACGCGATCCTTTCATATAGTTTTATCTTGTGTAAACAGTACAGTCATCTCCAAATAACTTCAGATTTTATTTTTCAATTTCATTTTTCAGAGAAAAATGCTATTGTAATGTTATTTTATTACTTGACATTTTATATTTTAATTCTCATTCCCTTAAGTAGGAGGCTAATAGGATATTGAAAGGAGGATTTTCTTTGTATTACTGACTACTGACTTTCGGAAAAAACAAATCACTTGAGTTAAAAGGTAGTGAGTGAGCTGATTTTTTTTCTTTTTAATGGGGAAGGTGATGAAAAAAATTAAAGGCGACTAGTTAAAGGGCATCTAGCGGATTTTTTTGGGGGGGGTGGGGGAGTGATAAAAAATTTAAAATACTTATCCACTTACATATTAGAACATAAATCTGTATTCATTAAACATGATATTAAAGACAACTTTGTTTTAATAAAGGTAGAAATCTAGAGGAAGAGATTGATAAAGAAGAGATGATGAAGCTAAGGATAGAAATTAGAGAACAAACACAATGCCACTGGGTCAAAGAAGACCTTCATCTCTCCCATACTCTCCCTGTGATACCCATCACCCCTGACAGAAATGTGTCTCCATCGGTCTTTCTATTCCTTACCTATCTCTAGACAAGTGGTTCACTGTGAATCACTGGGACATGAACATATGCATATTACCCAGAGAACACTTAATTTTATGTGCTCATTTGTTTGCTTGCTGGTGATCCATCAAGCTAGATACTTTATTGGACACCTAGTATTAGAAAATCTGTGCCAAAATAGACAAAATTAAACTAAGGTTTTGGGAATGGAGTGGCCTATGTTAACTACCAAACCTAGCAGCACCTTGCATACCTGTTAAAAATACTCATTCGTAGGGCCGCACCTCAGACCCACTGAAACACCATCTCATATGAGACCCTGAATTTGTATGTCTAACAAGCTCTTGTTTTGAAGCATGGAAGAGCTTTACCAGTCCTGTGATAAAGCCCTTGAGGTAAATCCACTCATAACCGGCTCCTTTGGTTTATTGGGCTTAGGTTATCCCTGGTTGTAGGGTAGGATAGTAAAAAGAGGGAATGGTTTTTACTAATATTGATATTCTTTTGACTCTTTTTGAGCAGCATGATTTATTACTTCCCCAAACTTTCATGCCTTGTACAATACTCAAGATTCTCTTGAGTATTTGGAATATTACTCTTACAGCTTTTCTCAACTAGGCTTCCTCATCTGAACCAAAGAGCATAGAAAATTATTTCAGTGACTATTTTCTTAATTTTCTCAAGGATAGTACATAACTAATAGCATTCTGTTGTTGTGTTGTCTTTAGCTGCCATCAAGTTGATTCTAACTCACAGCGACCCATTCTATAGTTCATTCCATAAAGTACACTATGATTAATTCCAAGTATAATCCCTCAGCCAGCAGCATCAACATCAACTGGGAACTTGTTAGAAAGAAGATTCTCAGGCCCCACCTGAGACACACTGAATTAAAAACTCTGAGAGTGGGGCTCAATGCACATGAAAGTTTGAGAACCATTGGCCTAGAGCAGTATTTCTCAAACAGTGTGCTTGCAGATCATCTAGGGATCTTGTTAAAATGCAGGTTCTAAATTTTTAACAAGTTCCTTGGTGATGTTACTGCCACTGTGATCCAGCATACCTCTACATATATTTGCCACAAAATGGAAATTGTGATCACTGACATTTGATGCTTCGGTTACCTTTATGTAAATAGTAGTGGTGGTCATGAAATTTACCTGCTGGTTTTAGAAAAAGTTGATGATACAATGTAGGTGAGAAAACCTGAGGGATTCTGATAAATAATAAGATTAAATAAGAAGAATAACAGAGTTTCTGAGAACACTGATTTGATGAAACAAGAAAATAAATGAGACATTTGAGTTGAAACGAGAAATGTAAATGTTAAACCATTTATCAGAATATGTAGCATGATATGTGTACTGTATTCCATCCTGCAGAAATTGTGCACTGTTCAGAGTGTCAACTGCAGAGACATTGAAGGGCGTCAGTCTACACCACTTCATTTTGCAGCTGGGTATAATAGGGTATCTGTGGTGGAATTTCTCTTGCAACATGGAGCTGATGTGCATGCTAAAGATAAAGGGTATGTACCAATCGTCACAGCCTTTTTGTCTGTTCTGATCTTTTTAGAGAATGTGAAAGTATGTTTATGATAGTTGGTGTTATGGATTATATTGTGTCTCCCAAGAATGTGTGTCAGTTTGACTAGGCCATGATTCCCAGTATTGTGTGGTTGTCTACCATTTTGTCATCTTATGTGATTTTCCTGTGTGTAGTATATCCTACCTTTGTGATGTTAATGAGGCAGGATTAGAAGCAATTATGTTAATGAGGCAGGATGAAATCTACATGATTAAGTTGTGTCTTAAGTCAGTCTTTTTTGAGATATAAAAGAGAGAAGTGAGCAGAGAGACAGGGGACCTTATACTGCCAAGAAATAAGAGCCAGGAGAATAGCATGTCCTTTGGACCCGGGGTCCCTGCGCTGAGAAGCTCCTAGACCAGGGGAAGATTGATGACAAGGACCTTCCCCCAGAATGATAAAGAGAGAAAGCCTTCCCCTAGAGCTGGGACCCTGAATTCAGACTTCTAGCCTCCTGCACTGTGAGAGAATAAATTTTTCTTTTTTAAGATACATTTGTGGTATTTCTATTATAGCAGCACTAGATAACTAAGACAGTTGGTAACTTGTATTTTTTCAGGAAATCTATATCCTAACATTAGCTTAAATATAGCTTTTTAATTTCAGTTAAAATTTTCTGATGATTCACATTTATATAGACTTATTTGCATAATGCCTTGTAATAATTTTATAATAGTCAAGGAGATTAACAGCATTAGTGTGATACGGAGTTTTAATGTACATTTTTTAATTTTCTTGGAGGATGTTTTAATTCTTCCAATTTGTCTTGAAATTATTTTTCATTAAAAATAATACATTTCTCCATTCTGGATGATGAGTATAAAGATTTTTTTATATTCTCTGTATTTTTTAAATATTTTTGAAAATTTCCCTTTCCCTCAAATAAAGAAGTCGCTTTCTACTTTCAGTAGATTTACGTTCTACAAAATACGATCAGTATAATTCTTTAAATACCTCAAGAAAAATCTTCCATCAGTTACTTGTAATTATTTAAATAAAACATCTCCGTCTATTGCACTGCTCATCTAACTTTTCATTTCAGAGGCCTTGTACCTTTGCACAACGCGTGTTCTTATGGACATTACGAAGTTGCAGAACTTCTTGTTAAGCACGGAGCAGTAGTTAATGTAGCTGATTTATGGAAATTTACACCTTTACATGAAGCTGCAGCAAAAGGAAAATACGAAATTTGCAAACTTCTGCTCCAGGTATATTTAAGTACTTCCTATGGACAGTGTGCATTACGTAGAATATGTTTATGTTACCTAATTAAACTTAACCAGTAAAGGGGTGGAAAGCAAAGTTATCCAATTCTCTACCAAGACTCTTAATAAATGTCATGACATTATATGTATTTCAGTCTACATGTATGTTTATCACACATAGATTATTATTGTATAAAGTCAGGTAGCATCATGTGGTAGTTCTTTTGATTATTACCTTAATTTTTCCCATTTAGTACTTAACCTCAAAATATTTTAAGTTGATGGTACTGTTTTAATACAGGTAGCAGTATAGATATTTTGCAATAAAAACAGGATAGTCGGGTTTATACTTTATTCCAGTGATTGTGAAGATTAGAAATAGTTCATTTTTTAATAGGTACTACTTTATTTTTCTTGATATTGCTTTATTTTGAACATAGTTATAGTTTAAAATTTGTACTGTATTATTGCATAATAAAAACTCAATAATATGTAACTATTACTGTATTATTTTTATTATATAATTTTCTGTGTATAAATTAAACAATAACAAACCATGTTATCCTTTAAGGTTGTCTCAGAGTGGTTTTTGTTGGTATAGTTACATTGACTATTTTCTCATGATCAACGGGAAACTTAAGCCAGTTCCTTCATTTCTGTTTTTCATATGCCTAGCACGGTGCAGACCCTACAAAGAAAAACAGAGATGGAAATACTCCTTTGGATCTTGTTAAAGATGGAGATACAGATATCCAAGATCTACTTCGGGGAGATGCAGCTTTGCTAGATGCTGCCAAAAAGGGTTGTTTAGCCAGAGTAAAGAAGTTGTCTTCACCTGATAACGTAAATTGCCGTGATACCCAAGGCCGACATTCAACACCATTACATTTAGCAGGTAAGTGGATGAAGTTGTCACAGATTTAGACTGGTGACATCTAAGAGTCATTTTACTTGAGTAAAGTATTTCCTGTAAATAAATATGTTCTAATGACACCATTATGTTCTTCAGTGTATTTGTACAGGTGAACCATACTTCAAGCATGTTAGCTAAGTTCAAGTTCACATAGCACTGGTACGTTACATTCAGTAAGAACAATTGAAACAGTCTCTGCCATTTCTCATGTGCTTTAGAATCTGCTATGCCAAGTCACCATGTTGTTTGAATTATCTTTGATGAGTAAATTTTGGCTACAGAAACTTGAAAAATATGCCCTCTTGAGCCAGCTTTCCTAGTAGAAAGCTAAAGCTTTTCATTCTCCTGATAGCTGTGAAGCAGAAGCAAGGGGTAAAAAAAAACTTAAAAGCTTTTAGAAGTTACACAGACTTCTTCCCAAAGTTCTTTTTCTGGATTTTCACTGTAGGATTGGTGCAGTGCACCTTTGCTTTTAGTGCAGGTATACAGTATTGTATTTACAGTATAGCTTTTTCAGCTATGTTGAAGATGCTTAGGAATGAACCATTAAAACACTGAGCCATAGCTAATACTTCACTGAAGTTGTATCATTAGTACATTTGACTCCTACAATTTTATCTAAATGTGCCTGGTTTAAAAAAAGAAAAAGATTAACGCACATGTTTCTGCCACCAAGTAAGTGAAAGATGGTGGTCTACTATCTCAGTTTATTTCAGTTTCATGAGTAACTGAGTGTGTTGTGTTTAGAAGATATTTTGGTTTTGTGTGATTTTTACCTTTAAAATCTCACGCATGTAAGTTGGGACCCCACTGTCCAAAAAAAAGAATTACTCCATCTGTGTGTGGAACATTTTGGATTGATAAATCACAAATGCTAACATGGTAAGAAATAGTTTTTCTCCTTCCACTGCCAGTCAGTGGTTTCTAGCCCTGCAAGACAAGATATGATCTGACCTCTGATTTGAAATTGTGCTATGCATATTTATATTATTTTTTTATGTCTTTATGGCACTTTTCTAGAACATATAATATTTAAGTCTGTGTTGTCTTTGGTAGTAGAAAACCCTATATACAGTATATTTATGCCCAGTTGTGCAGTATTGTACTTTGAGACCTGGAAGGACTTTTAGATTTGGTATAATATTTGGTTTATGATAGTTTTGTTCTTCCTTACTTGGTCTTACTAAACTCTTTTGCTGTGGATCCTTTAGGAAAATGATAAAAACTGTAATAAAATATTTCAAATCATTTTAAAATTTCAAGTGATGTCTGTTTTTATGTTGGTAAAATTCCAGATTTGATTTTAATCTATGAGTATGTATCAAATAAAATATACTTTACCAAGAGTATTTATTTACTAAGATAGCTGGCAGTTCCCAAGGTAGTTGACAGCTGGGAGATTGTGGTACATTTGTAATTTATTAATTTTTATCTCATGGCTTTAGCAACACATAAGTTTCACTGCCAAATTTACAGAGATACACACCCCTAAGTTCTTTCTAGCAAATAAGATGTCCTTGTGGCCTTCTTGGGAAAGAGCCCTGAAACCTACTCTGGTGTGCTGCCTCTTGCTCTGCCAGCCACTTAGCTTTTATGTGATTGGATGCGTTTTACTTGTAGCCCTTTAGACCATGTACCTGAGTATGTAATAACTGTGAAGGCAGGGACTTTGGAAGGAAAGTTTTAAAAGGAAAGATACAAGCAAATCAATCAGTGTAATTTTGAGAATCTCTGAAGTGAATGGATATCATTATTGAAAGTTTTCCACCTTGAGGCCAGTGGGAAATTCTTCCATAAGATAAAATTTTAATAGATTCACTGTGGAATTTGAGGCTTACATAAAATTTCTTTTATTTTTCAATAATGTCTGTGCTTTGTAAATTTATATATATAAATAAAGGTATGTCCACATCTGACGTAAATGTGACTATATTTCTTATATTAAGGAGTGAAAGTAATTTTATTTCTTTTCTAAATTAGCTGGTTACAACAATTTAGAAGTTGCAGAGTTTTTGTTACAACATGGAGCTGATGTGAATGCCCAAGACAAAGGAGGACTAATTCCTTTACATAATGCAGCATCTTATGGGGTAAGCTTCTTCTGTGTTACCTTTAAAAATCTATGAAATTTTCAAAATGGAAGTCATTATTGCAGTTCAAAGGGAATTTAGTTTGACTTTCTCATTTTACAGAGAAGTAAATATGAGGGCCAAAGAGGTTAAATAACTTCCAAGTTCTAATTCTGAGTAAGCTTGCCTTGTGACACGCAGCATGTTGTTGCCATTTGTTTTATGACTTAGCACCTGTCTCTTGTTCTTTATTTTCAGTGAGATGTTGGTGATTTTTTGTTTTATTTATATACTACTAGCTTATAAATAGGAGCCCTGGTAGTGCAATGGTTAAGTGCTTCTTGGCTAACCAAAAGGTCAACGGTTCAAACCCACCAGCCGCTCTGTGGAAGAAAAGACTTGACGATCTACTCCTATAAAGATTATAGCCTAGGATGCCCTCTGGGGCAGTTCTGTTCTGTCATATGGGGTCACAATGAGTCAGAATCAACTTGACAGCACACAGCAACACAGTTTATAAGTTGATGTTCAACAGTCAATCTAAACACTTGATAAATTTGGAAAGATTAAAGTCATACTAGTTTAGTTCCCTACTTTGTAGCATTCTTAGCCATTTTGTAAAAGGTTTCCTCAAGTTACTGAAATGTCTACTGTAGTTTTTAATAAGCTACCCATAAATTATGATGCTGGGGAGAAACATCGTTTTTTCCTTTCATTTCCAGAGTAAGTTTGAAAATATGGAAGTAGTTATACGGCTAGTTTCTTCTTAAGAACTAAAATGTGATAAAATAATGTTTCAGACTATAACGGGAGTATTTTCTTTTACAGCATGTAGATGTAGCAGCTTTACTAATAAAGTATAATGCATGTGTCAATGCCACGGACAAATGGGCTTTCACACCTTTGCACGAAGCAGCCCAAAAGGGACGAACACAGCTTTGTGCTTTATTGTTGGCCCACGGAGCTGATCCTACTCTTAAAAATCAGGAAGGACAAACACCTTTAGATTTAGTTTCAGTAAGTGATGGACTCTCTGAAAAATCTCAGTGCTTTCCTGATTTTAAAATTCGGTTGGTATATATATAAAATATCTTCATGGTGATTGTGGCAAAATCTAATTGTTAGTCCAATTTTAAATTTGGGACTTCCTTGGTATTAAAAGATAATAAGTAAATAATAGCATTATCAATCAGTTATTATATACTGAGTACTTTTGGAAGTAGAAAAAAGAAGTACAAGGTATAATTTCTTACATTAGTTGGGAAACAAAACAGGCTAAGGCCTTCTTCAATAAATGCTCTTACATTGCATGCAATGCAAGATGATACAAGCCACAAGTCTTTATGAACTTCCCCAACTAGGAACATTTCCCTCAAGGTGCAGCCACAAAGCCTGCCACTGGTAGCGATTTCCTTCCCTCCCACACTACTTTATCCCCAAAGTTCTTGTTGCTTACCCCACCAGAACTGTCGGTGAAACAAACCTGTTACTCCAGTTTTCTGTGGAGGTCCTTTTTTCCTTGCCCTCCCACAGGAACTCATGTAGGAGGCTCCAGTATAGCTTCCATCTCTGCTTTGTCCACTGCGACAAAAGTGCCTCTCTTGCCTCAGTTACTGAGAACGTTGACCAGAGCGGTGGAGGGAAAGGGAGAAGAAATTCTTTCTGAGGTGGGAAGGAAGAGGAGTCTCTTCTACAGACTGCTTTCTACTGAGAGAGTCCATTGTTCAAAGTCACAGTGAAAAGCTGATTTAGTTCAGCTGCATCGGGGTTAAATAGATTTTTCTCAGCAGATTGACAACCAGACCATATTTGCAACATCATTTCTTCAGGAAAATCTCTTTTTAGTTCCAAGCAGTTCACTTAGAAGTGAACTTTGGAGTTAAATCTGCCTATATGTTAGTCCACTAAATATAATTGACAGTGAAACAGAGTGCTCTAGAGAACATGCGTGGGCTTTAAACAGACCTGGCTTAGAAGTCCAGCTTTTATCATTTTTAGTTGTACAGCCTTGCAAGTTGCCTAACCTCTAAGCCTCATTTACCTCATCTATAAATGGGTATAAAATATACCTGGTTAATAGGAGAATTAAATAAGATAATGTACTGAAAGTCCTTGGCATGGTATCAGGTACATAATAAGCACCCAATAAATGGTGCTACTATTACGAACAAATCTTATATGCAAACTGTGAGTGCCATGGACGTCCTCAGACTAGGGGAAAGAAAAAGTTGAGGATTGGGATAGGCAGTAAAAATGACTCAGGGTGAAAACAAGTACTGATTTACATCTTGTTGAGTGTTAATTACTTAGTATCCTACTTGAGCATTGGGGAAGAATGGTACATGTCACTAATTAAAAGAATTAATGTACCAGTAAATTTGGGGACTTTTTCTTATCCTAGTAGATTTGATTAAAATGATTATCTTGTTGAATATTTTCCAAGAAAAACCAACATCATACTGTTTGCTAAAGTTCCATGTAGGTTGAATTATGTCTTTCAGAGTAATAATAATAGAGTTTAAAGGTCTTACCTTTTTTAATTGGTATTTTCTGTAATTTCATCTCAGTGCTTTTCAGTCGTATCAAAGTTTGGATATTCTTCATTGCCCATGAGGAATATTTATTTGATTCTGTGTGTTTTGGAGGTGTTCTGAATTATGTTTTATTTTTTATAACAATTTAGCTGAATATCAACCAGTTTGTCTCACTTTTTGAAGTAATTAGAATAATCTGTTATTTTTACATAGTAATAAATTCTAGTGCTACATATCTTATTGTTTTGTCGCATTTTTAAAATACATTCTATTGCATGTAATAGAATTTTAAAACTTGCTTATGGCAGATTTCATCTGTCTCTCTGATGTGTACCCTAGGCAGATGATGTCAGTGCCCTCCTGACAGCAGCCATGCCCCCTTCTGCTCTGCCTTCATGTTACAAACCACAAGTGCTCAGTGGTGTGAGAAGCCCGGGAGCCACCACAGATTCTCTGTCTTCAGGCCCATCCAGCCCATCAAGCCTTTCTGCAGCCAGCAGTCTTGACAACTTATCTGGGAGTTTTTCTGAACTGTCTTCAGTAGTTAGTTCAAGTGGAACAGAGAGTACTTCCAGTTTGGAGAAAAAGGAGGGTGAGACATTGTGCAAAGTAACTTTTTAACTGATTTGTAGCCTCATATTTGTCCTTTGGAATGCTTAAAAGTCCTTTTTAAATCAAAAACAGTACTATTAGTATCAAATTAATTAATATAGCCTAAAAGTTTTTGGCCTTTGAGGTGTTCTTTATAATACTAACAGAATTTCTAACGAACTTTCTCCTTCCAAATTGAGAGCTGATGAGTCTTAGACTGCTGATCCGCTCTTTAGTTGTAAATATGCTTTTTCAAGGTTTTGAAGTCCTTTTGGTTGAGTAGTTTTGCTTTTTAGTATTTACCTTTTCCAGTGTACTATTACAGAGTTATGTAATACCTTTGACCCCATGTCAAAATGCCCAACTTTGAAGTTTATTTTTAAAAAAGAAAAAGAGACACACATACCTGCAATGTCTATTATACTAATGTCTTTTCTTTTTGTTTTTCTGTCCAAGTTCATCTCGCCCTATACAAGATTATGGAACTTGTTTGCACAGACTTTATTGTGAAATAGCTTACATCCTGAAAGACAGGGAGACTGACTTTAAAGATCAGTGAAAAATAAAGTTTGAAGTAAAAAATTAAAAGGTTTTTTTAACCTGAAAATGTCCCATTGATTTTTCTAATGATGTTAAAATTTTATAGCTTTCTCTTTGTGATTTTCAATGTTATGTTCAGTATTATATCACAAGTAGCTATTAATATTTTCCATCATGTTTATGTTCTTAATATATATATAGTAGTATCATGAAAATTTATTGTTACCATGTTGACATACATTATTCTGATGTAAAATTTTGTTTGTTCTGAACTTTTATTTCCCAGTTCCAGGAGTAGATTTTAGCATAACTCAATTTGTAAGGAATCTTGGACTTGAGCACCTGATGGATATATTTGAGAGAGAACAGGTGAGTAGATGAATTTTACTGCTTAATTTGTGTTTTATGGAACCTCAGCTTACAGAAAAATTGGGAAATACACATGGGGTTGCTGTGAGTCAGAGTCGACTCAATGGCAACTTTTTTTTTTTTTTTTTTTAAATGCCCTGAACCATTCAAGCTATTAGAGGCAGTGGTTTTTAAGAGACTAGAAATAAGTTACTCTTTTAATTTGGCTTGATCTTGGAATTCCATTCAGTTTATTAGCACACAAAAGTTGACTCTCAAGTAGTAATAATAAATAGTTGTCTTGAATGCAAAGTTTAGCTTATTCAGTCCTTAAGATACCCTTGAGCTCTGTTTGTTCAGTTCTTTTGTGTTAGTTACTGTCCTCCCTAAGCCTGACACTCCCCTAGCTGCTTATGGGGAGATATGCGGGTATGCCAGCCATATATCTGGGCTATTCTAGGATGGTCCCAATTTAAAGTATTTTGTCAGAACACATTTTCTGATCTTTGTGGTTCAGAAAATACAGCTACTGTAGACGTGTACCCCGAAGGAGCTTCTGATATAGTCATGGAGCTAGAATAAGAACACATGAAGAGTTAAACTTTTGGAATAGATTTTAGAAATTCAAAGAAGGAAAAAATTCTTGTGAGCTGGGTTATTCAGGGAAAGCTTCATGGAAGGTGTGTAAATTAAACAGGATTTTAAAGAATGGCTTCAATTTCACAAAGTGAAAAAAATTGTATTTGGGGTAAGAGAATGAGTTTGAGCAATGATGCAGAACTACCTGTTGGTGTAGTCCAGACTCTGAAGGAATCATTGAAGGCACTGTGTAAGAGGCACATGGAAAGTGATGATGGAAAAGAATCTGCTTTTCCAAGATAAAGTAGTATACCTGAATACAGTTAATTTGCAAGTGCATTTTTGTTTTGCAGTTTAGTTCTGCTCAGGTTCTAATGTTAAATGTAAACAGTGATAGTTTTGGTTATGTCATGACTCAACTTTCTATTTATTTAGCACCAACTTTTCATTTTCTGTTAACTGGTTTGTTTTCATTTTTAAGCTGCTCAAAATAACTTGAAGTAAATGTATGAATCTAATACATTATGGGAACGTGGTATCTCTTATGAGTGTGTCTCTTATGAGTAAGATTCTAAACTGTTTGATCCTCTTTTATAAGATCACCTTGGATGTATTAGTTGAGATGGGGCACAAGGAGCTGAAGGAGATTGGAATCAATGCCTATGGACATAGACACAAACTTATTAAAGGAGTTGAGAGGCTTATCTCTGGACAACAAGGTATTTCATTTGAAATAATCGCTGTCATCAGTAACAGTTTGCATAACCCTCAGCTTACTAAATGATAATTCAAAAATGTGTTTGTAAGAAAGAGTATAATAAAAACCCATTGCCTTCGAGTCGATTCCGACTCCTAGTGACTCTACAGGACAGAGTAGAACTGCCCCCTAGAGTTCCCAAGGAGTGCCTGGTATATTCGAACTGCCAACCCTCTGGTTAGCAGCCGTAGCACTTAACCACTATGCCACCAGGGTTTCCAGGAAAGAGTATAATAGGAAGCACTAATTAGGATTTGGGAAACCTGGAATCAAGTCTTAACTCTGCTACTAACTGTTCAGCTTCCTAGGCTTCTGTTGTTGACTTCGTGAGCTTAAGTAAAACTTCTGAGCCGTTGTACTGCTTCAGCTCCCAAAAATTAGGAAGTTGGGTGAGATAATGTCTGCAGTAATTCTAGCTCTAAAATTTTATAATTCTAAATGACCTGAAACTTAAGTATCTCATTTCTTACGGTAATAGGTAATCATTAGATGTTTAGGCTAGCACAACAAATAATGTAGTAAATGTCTTATATAGCTGAAATTCTAAACACTTGTAATGAAAATACTAGAAAACAGTAATGTTGCAATTGAGATTAAACAAAGTTGAATAATTATTTCTCCTAAATGTTAGTGCTTAAGGAAGATGCAAATTACATTCTTTCAACAGATATTAACACTTTCTTTGTACCAAGTCCTGAGTATAAAAAGGTAAATTATGTTAAGTCTCAGAGCACATTTTAACTTCATTGTTAAACTGATCAGTTGGTTTACCCTGGGATCAGAAGCATCCTATAATTGAAGTCCTGGCTGTACAACTGGAATTGAAGAGAATCTTCCATCAGCAAAAATGAAGGGATTTTCAGGGAAGAATGCATACTAGCCAGGATGGAGTCCACCTTTTGAAGAAGAAATAAGAGCACCTTCCACAATTAGGTGTTTCAAGCTGAGGAATGCTTTAAACTCGTATTCTAGAGTAAGATCAATTAAAAGTAGATGCACTTTACCTGCCCTGTAGGGACAAGTTTAAAATGTGGTAAAGTCTTGGACATTTCTAGTATAAATGACAAATTTTATTAGGTAGAGAAGAGGGGAAACTCATGGCTCCCTGGAATGTTAGTACACAATATATATAGCAAAAAAAATGAAGAGGAAATAGAATCCTTAGTTATGGACTGCTGTTATGATTCTACTGAAATAATATAGATGTGGTAGGACAGCAGTTACGGTGGAATACTGAGAATAAGTATAATTTAGGAAAGAGGCAGTATAAAAAAGGAAAGCAGGCAGTGTTTGTACATTAACATATTACAGTGTCTGGCACCTAGTTAGGACTGCATAGAAAGGCTCCGGAAACAATGAAGACAACATATGCTGCCTCCAGGTGGCACGTGGCAGTTTCCTCCATGCCACCTCTGGTCCTGTAATCACTGATAAATCTAGCTACAATTGGGTAGGAGCGTTCATTCCTACTTGGAGGAGAAAGATGGCCATGAGACAGAATGCTATGTCTGATTTCGCATATCAGGGTCACTTTCCTATATAAAGAGTTAACGCCTTCTTCATCTTCATTTGAAGCCAGGATCGTATATCTACATTATACTGAATCTGCAGTGTGGAACCAGTGGCTGCCTGTGATGATCTTCCAACAATCTCTCATCTTGCTGACTTAACAGCCTTAGCTCTCATTCAGTGCATCAAGTCAATAGGTTACTTGTCCTAATCTTTCAGCACTGATAAACCTCTTCTCGGAGACATCCACAGATGCCTTAGTCAAATGCATTTGTTATAGTCTTTGTCCTATAAAATATTCTCTGTGTGGAGTCCATAATTCATGCAAACATTGTAATTCAGCCATTCCTGTCTCTTTCAGTGTCCGGCATGTTGGTGGTAGTGTTTTTCTTCAGATCACAGCTCATAGCCAGGATAGTGCTCTGCATTCCCAGAAGCTAACCTCTGTGGAGCAGTAAAAGATTAGACGCTTACCTGGAAGAACATTAGAGCTTTGGCAATCTTGTTGTAGAGATTAAAGGAGAGAGTTGTGTTACAAATACACCAAAGAAATTGAGAAATCCCATTTAAAGAGCTTTTGTGAGAGTAAAGACACAAAAATGTGTATGGTTCTTTTGGCCATTGACATTAAGAAAACATGACAAATTCATTGCCAAATTTTAAACAATCTGTTACGGGTCCGAATAGGCGTTGAGTAGTTAGACAGTAAACTTTATTCTAGGATGATTTAAAATTACCTTGAGGCTATGCAAATTGTTGTCATAATTCTTCCTCATACTTCGGAAGAATAACAGGATTAAATATTGAAAGGGCTGCATGGTTAGAAAAAGAAAGTAATTTAAAGAAAATGTGTGACATAAACCCATTAAGAATAAGAAATAAAGAATATAAAAATTTTCTGAAATATTCCTACAAAACCCATTTGGCTTGCCAGGTCAAAAATTAGTAGTCTAAATGCAATGTGGTATCCTGGTTTGGATCCTAGGACAGAAAAAGGAACTTCATGGGAAAAACTGGTGAGAGCCAAACAAACCCTATATCACATTTTTGACAGATGTATTATGGTTATATAAAATGATAACATTACGGGAAGTTGGGTGAAGGGGACTCTGTGTACTGTATCAGCCTTTCTGTATATCTAAATTATTCCAAAATGAAAAGTTTTTAAAAATTAGTAGTAAACATCAGGTAAATCAGGTGGTTATTTTTGGTTGATGTTAATTGTTTTGTTGGCAGTTTTTTTTTTTTACCTTCAAATTTTATTTCATAGGTCTTAACCCATACTTAACTCTGAACACCTCTGGTAGTGGAACAATTCTCATAGATCTATCTCCTGATGATAAAGAGTTTCAGTCTGTGGAGGAAGAGGTATGTTCATATACCTTAAATAATTAGAAAAGATAGATCAACAACATGTATTGTTGGTGCCAGTTGCTAAATTTCCTGGAGATTTCCAGATCTAATTGAACTTGTAGTTTGGTTTTAACTCTACCACCTGGAAACTTTGAAATTTGGCATTTAAGGTACATTCTCTCAATGAATGTTCATTCCAGTAACTTGGTTCAGTGTTGTAATTAATAACAGTTTTGTTGGAGAAAAGGTTGCTACTATTTGAAAAAAAAATGCTAATGTTTCCTCTTGTCATGAAGGCAATTGACAAAGCCTAGTATCTTAGACAAGACCAGAACATGTGGGTGCTACTTATCCAGGAAAATTTTCCTGCAGCTTTCTTCACATAAAGCTAAACTCTTGAATCTGCTAAAATGTTTGAATAGTGCCCTACTTACTCTATGAAGAACATACCCTATGTATGTGAGTTGAGCACAGAGATAAAAGTTGAGCGAGACTTGGTTCTAAACTTAAGAGACTCCCACTCTCAGTAAATTATGAATGGTACTCTATTAGGGCAAAATGAACAGGAACAAACAAGTCATCATTTTGTGTGTGTGTGTGTTTTTTTTTTTTTAAGTATGTTTCTTTTTCTTCCTTTAGGTTTCATTATATAATTTTCACCTGTAGATACTTTTTCAGGTTGATTGTACTAGCTAACAGCTATCTCTGGAAAATAATATTCATGAACTTACAGAATTCATATTCTTTAAACAACAAAAATGTTAAAACCTGTTTTGTATTCTCAAAGGTAGACTCGGATGAGTCAAGAGCTATATTCCCCAAATCAGAAAAGATGTAAAAGCTAATACACATATATTTGAAATAATTTCTCCATCAGATGCAAAGTACAGTCCGAGAGCACAGAGATGGAGGCCATGCAGGTGGAATCTTCAGCAGATACAATATTCTCAAGGTAATAAGTTAGTGAAAGTAAAGTTTGCTGAAATCATAGTTTTCAAAGCCTGAAGCCAGTAGCAGCTTTCATAAGAACATGATGATATGTCCAGCCAAATAGGTCTTTGACATGGCATCAAGGTATGTTTTGGGGAAGAATATATCCTTGGAAGGGTATATTACAAAATCCCTGTAATAGCCAGTAACAACCAATAATAACCAATCTAGTCCTTGTTGAACACATTCAGTCTAGAGATTATGCTTTATATTGGGATGATGATAAATCCTGTAGGTTTAGGACTTTAAATATATAAAGTATCATTAAAGTACTCTGTGGTAACAAAGCTGAATTTTTTTGTGGCTCATGAAAGGATTTTATATATATAATTTTTAATAAGACAAATAATTATGCCTGTTATAGGCAAATTTTAGGCAAGTCCATTTTGTCTACAAGCAGTAATAAATATGTGGCAGTTTGTTAAGGGTGAAGGCAGGAGAGATTTCCAAAGAAGTTGGAAGTTGGATTTGAGAAAGATATATGCTGTATTTTCTTCTTCCACAAAGGTATTTTCATGTAATATTTTGTGAAACATTTTTCAATAATAAAAAAAATCCTTTTTTCTTTTTGATACATAAATAAGATCTGTTTATGCCAATTGTGACCCTTGATTATGTCTGTGACAGTATTTTGAGCCAAGACTGAAACCACCAGCTCCCAGATGTGCTCTAGGGACCAGCAGGGGGCTGTAGCACCTTTAAACCAGCTAAGAAACAGCACTAGGATTGTGAATTTTGACCTAGAAATACTCCTAATAAGACCAGATTCTGTCTTTAAATCATCTTCAAACAAAAATTTCAGGAATTGGAGAGAGAAGTGTAGAGGGAATAGTAGGTGTAGAGGTGTGTGTGTTTGAAGAATGTTTTTTGTGTGGCTGTTTCAGATTATTTTATAATTAAAAACAGATTAAGATGACACTTTAAGCCATAAAAAGTGGAGGAAAAAAGATACTGTTCTCTTTCTGATACCTGTATACCGAACTCAGCGTGTCTGACTTGGAGATATTTTAGTACTAATTTTGAGTTAATGAGAATGGAAGTCATTTTAATCAATTGACAGTATTCTTGATGTTCACATATGACTATTTGTAGCTTTTTTCCCTTTGAATTTTTTGATTTTCAAATTATAACTATACTACCAATTTTATGGTTGGGGCAAAGTGTTTTTAGTTAACTGAAATAACACGTATTTTACATTTCTTAGAAAAGTTTTACCTCTCTTCCTGCTAAGTATATGGCCCATCTTTTAGTTAAACTGAACATGTAGGTAAGTAATTATTAAGACCTAAAGATTTGAATTTTCTGGTTTATATTTTACAGATTCAGAAGGTTTGTAACAAGAAACTATGGGAAAGATACACTCACAGAAGAAAAGAGGTTTCTGAAGAAAACCACAACCATGCAAATGAAAGAATGCTATTTCATGGTAAGGTTTCTATCCCTCCACCCCACCTCTGTCCTCCCTCACATTAGCATAGCTTTTTGCCCGATGTGAAACAAGAATGCATCTCTCTATTCCTGATATCATTTTAAAAAATAAACCTCATATTCACAGCTTCAACTTCTCTTGAATTTGTATGTTTTGTAATGGATGGTTTTAAATAGGATTCCCATAGTGAAAAAAGTATAAAAATGAGAATGTTGACTATTCATGTTCTTCTTTTTTCTTTATGTAATAGATTTTGCTTGTTTTGATCACTCTGAAAAATGGTGTGTCTTACTTTTAACTAGACAATTGAATTAAAATAAGACCTCAGTATCATCTCAGGAGAGTTATGCATCCTATTCTGATTTTAGGAGTCAAAACCACATTTAACTTTGATGTTGAGAGAGCCATTGCCATTGAACCTGTGGAGGTTTTTGATAACTTTTGTTGAAGGGAGAGCACCATTACACATAATTTTTGAAATTTTCTGGTTTTTTGCTTCACAAGGTGGCAAGCATTGATTGGTCTTTCAAGTTTGTAACAAAGATGAATATAGATATTAATGAAGTGTTTATCCAGTTTTCAAGCACATTACCCATAGTAGCACCAGTCTATTCCTTCATTTGGTCGTGATTGTAGAAAATTTTTAGAGACCTGTAAAGTTCTATAAAGGAGCCCTGGTGGCACAATGGTTAAGCGCTCAGCTGCTAATGGAAAGGTTGGACAGTTTGAACCTACTGCTACTCGACAGGAGAAAGATGTGTCATTCTGCTCCCATAAGGATTTCAGCCTAAGAAACCCTACAGGGTGGTTCTGCTCTGTTACTACAGGGTCGCTATGAGTCGAAATCGACTCAGCAGCATCCTACACACACACAAAGTTCTACAAAACAGAGTATTTAAATTTCACAGTCCTCTGGAAGAATAGTGATAGCAGGATAAATTCATGTACAATATCTAAATGGAACTTCTCGTTCCAAAACCCTAGTAATCACCATGATAATCTCTTGGCACAGAGAAATGGTTGGCATATAATACACACTTATTATGTATTGACTTGATGGTTATAATAAGTGATTCTTCTATTTTATAGCACCAGTGGTTTGGATTTTCCAGATTGAATCAAAGAAGTGATTCTATTCATCAGTAGTTTTGTAAAGTAGAATTCAGTGTTGTTGTTTTTTTGGTCCCTTTATGAACAGGAACACTGATTTTAATGAATCAATTAGCTGTGTTCTTTTGGCCTTTCCCAACTCCCACCCTCACTCACCCCCCTCGCTGGCCTGGTTCCCAAGCTCAATACCTCCTCTTTGGCTATGGTCCCTTTCTTGGCACACATGCAGGGAAGGAGGAGAAAGAAGTTCATACGTAGGGAATGGGGGAAAGCACCACGTTTGCAGATGGAATATGGTATAGGAGGTAATGAAAGGCAGAGAAGTGGCAGGATAGCAGAAAAGAGAAAGGAGAGAATAAGAACAAGAGGAGGCTGCTTGGACCACTTTTGATATCTAGAAAAAGTACACAGACATGGACATCGTTATAAGACCTAATTACATTCAGCCTTGCTATGTGAAGTGAATTATGAGACTCTTGGTTCTGGACTTGTCTGGATTTGGGGTCTGGAATTTGATAGTCCTAGCATTGATATTTAAGTGATCAGTTTTTCTAGTTATATCTCCACCCTATTAGAAACACTAATTGATGGTAGCAGTGTTCTTTATTCTGAAGTCATGAGCTGGCTGACAGTTCACTTGTTACCCTTGTTTTTTGTTTTTGCTTTGTGGTGGTGGTATGTATGTTTAAGTGTTTTAACTCCTAAAAGACTTTAGTTTTTCTTGTAAGATAAATTTTAAATTGTTATCCATCTTATATGTATTTTAGGATCTCCCTTTGTGAATGCAATCATTCATAAAGGCTTTGATGAAAGACATGCTTACATAGGTGGAATGTTTGGAGCTGGGATTTATTTTGCTGAAAACTCTTCCAAAAGCAATCAGTATGTATATGGAATTGGAGGAGGTACTGGGTGTCCAGTTCACAAAGACAGATCTTGTTATGTTTGCCACAGGTAAGAAATCATTTGTTCTCATTTATTTTGGTAAGAATCAGATAAGAACTGGTTAGATATTTGAGAAATGTTCTAGGTAAGGCATTATCGTGGACGACTTTAGGAATCCAAGCTGGCGTGTTTTAGGTTGCTTTTGGCTCTCTCTTACCAGTTACAGTAGTAGCTAGTGTTTATTAAATGATCTGTATGAGCCAAGCACACTTCTAAGCACTTGACCTGTTTAACTCCTTTAATCATTAGGACGCTTGGTGCTTTAAAGAATACTGAATAGAAAATAACATTGATCATGAAAGAGATTTTATTGTAGCCCTTAAATATTATAGGACTGTGGACTCTTAAAAAGTCTAGTATTGAGATGCTAAGATGGTACTGCTTGCCAGTCCACTCAGACACACAGTGATGAGTCTAATCATTTCATATCAATGCCTAAGGGATTCTCTCTTCCACTGTGATAAGATCCTGAACCTCAGTTTGTGATATTACTACTCTAAGAATTAAAAGACATGATCCCTTTAGAAAGTACATAATTATCAAATAACTACTTTGCACTAATTTTTTTTTCCACGTTTAGTTACTGGTCTAACTCAGTTAAAACTGTTCAGATAACTTGGCCCTAATTTATAAAATCCTCAGAGGCAAATAATTATATCTTATGCCATGTGAAAAATCGAGTAAGATTAATTACTGAGAATTAGTCTATAGTTAGGGCATTGCTTACAAAAATCCACAGCAGCAGTGATTAAACATTAGCATGCATCAGAGTCACCTAAAGGGCTTGTTAAAACACAGATTCCAAAACTCCACCTCCTGAGTTTCTGATTGAGTGGGTCTGGGCTGGGGCCCTAGAACTTGAATGTTTGTTTACCAGGTTCCCTAGGAGGTCCTGATGACCAGGGACAGATTACCCAATAAGCAATGTGATGAAAACCAGGTGAAATTGTTCCCTACAGATTAGTAAGTAAGCACAATTAAGCCCTTGCCTACCTTGCTTACTGTAATCTGGTACATACCATGGTTACTGGTTAATCCACCCCGCTGATGACGCTGGTCCCTAGAAGGCCCTAGAGCAGTAGGTCTCAAGCTTGGCTGCACATTGGGATCACCTAGGAGCTTTAAAAAAAATACTAATGCCTGAGTTCCACAGAGATTTTCCTTTAATTGGTCTGGGGTATGGTCTGAACATTAGGATTTTTCAGAGCTTCCCAGCTGATTTCCAAAGGCTGCCAAGATTAAGAACTGCAGTCCTGGAGAGAAATTAGCTTCTGGTTTTATTTTTGTTTTGTTCATGTTGGTGGTATTTTCCCTTTAAATTTAGGTTTCTGGGTGTGTTACACAGTAGCCTCCCCGGGCCTGCCCTCTCATTCACTTCCATTTTAGATCACAAATTGGACTGGTGAGGCTTGTAATTTCCTGAGAGTCTGTAAATTGAGCACTGCTGTTTTTACTTGTCATATATTTCTTGGAGGTGAAATAATTCTGATAATTAGTAATAAGCAATGTTCTGGTGCCTACCCTAAACTGTCTTTAGGACCACAGAATGCTTTGGTTCTCTGAAGATTATTTTCACCTAACATTATTCTGTAAGCTAGATTATCAAGGGGCTGATTGATAATATAATAGAAAATCTATTAGAAATGCTGAGAAAGCTTCCAAAGGATGAACTTAGGATAAAAAGCATATAGCCTCTCTTATTTGGAGAACAGGACCGTCAACTGGTCCACCAAAGTCTACTGTTCAAGATTGAGAAACAATGAAGTACAGGTAGTCTCTGACTTACGACAGGGTTCTGTCCCAACAACTCCCTTGTTAATCGATTCTGACATAAGTTGAATACTTTTTTTTTTTTTTTTAGTTTTCATTACTGTTGCCTTTTACTATCAGTATCTTTATAAATCTGTTCTTTGAACATCTGTGAGTGAACATCTGAGAATTGTAACATCAGCAAATTATGTGCTACAACATGTAGTACATATTACTAATGATGATATATACAAAAAAAAAAAAAAAAGATGGGTGTAAGTGCAGTTTGTCGTTAACTCGAGTGTGTCAGAAGTCAGGGACTACCTGTATCCTAAAAGGTTCATCGGATCTAAGGAAGGCCAGTTATATGCCTGAAGGGAGTGGCAGAATAGTCTACTTAGATTGATGGTAAGGGAAGATCTATTTAAGGAAGTAACATTATCAGCTGAAATCTGAAAAATAAATGGTAGTCAGCCTATTTAAGAGTGGTGGGATAGATTCCATTCCAGATGGTAGAAGACACAATGTGTATGTGTATGGAGGCCATGAGGTGAGAAGTTTGACCTCTGTGAAGAAAGAAAATTAATATGCCTGGGGCATAATGAGCAAAGTGAGATTAGAGAAATGGGGTATTGTAAGAAATATGGATTTTATTCTAAATACAGTATGCAGTCTGTAAAGCAGAAAAGTCACGTAATCTGATTTATGTTTTCTTTTAAAAAATCACTGGTTGTTTGGGTAATGGATTGGATGGGAATTAGAGTAGAAACAGGAAGACTACTTGGAGACCATTGTTACAGTTTAGAAGAAAATATTTGGTGGTTTGAACTTAATGGTGACAGTAGAAATTGAGAGGTGAATTGATTTGAAATATATTTTGAAGGTAGAATCAACTGGACTTAGTTGGATAGATCTCCAACTTGGTAAGCCACCTCATGAAAGCCCCTTAAACCTCCAGCTTATTCCCACTTTGCACCTATGATTTGGGTTTTTGCTGGGATACAAACAAGATAAGATTTAATAAGGTTTTCAGGTTTTACAGTTAAAATAAGGATTAATTAAATTGACAGATTCTTTCATTAATAAGAGTGGTAGAAGAAATTCTTACCAAATTATTTTAAGGATAAAGTGATAAAAACAATCGTGTTTATGCATTTAAAAAAATGCATTTGTAAGCGTATGCAGTGTACACAAATAGAAATTGTCATACCCAGCTTTGTCTTCAGGGTTTTCTTTTCTTTTTCATATTATAGGCAGCTGCTCTTTTGCCGGGTGACCTTGGGAAAGTCTTTCCTGCAGTTTAGCGCAATGAAAATGGCACATTCTCCTCCAGGTCATCACTCGGTCACTGGTCGGCCCAGTGTAAATGGCCTGGCATTAGCTGAATATGTTATTTACAGAGGAGAACAGGTAATTTTATTTGTTCATTTTCAAAAATGCTTTAGAGCCATACTTTAACCTCTTCTTACTAATCACTTAAATTGACAAGGGATATTGCCTTAAGAGCTTTTTTTTTTTTTTTAACTGTCATTTGGAAACAATTTCCATCTTACAGAAAAGTTGCAAATAGAGTAAAGAGAATTCCTTTATAGGCTTCACCTACATTTCCCAAATGTTAACATTTTATCATTCTCTCCCTCCCTCTGTGGGTATGTGAGGGTGTGTATGTGTGTACATACTATTTTTTTCTGAACTGTTTGAGAATAAGTTGCAGGCATGTCCCTCCACTCCCTAAATACTTGAATGTGTAACTCCAAAAATCAAGGAAATTCTCTTAAAATTATCAAAATCCGGAAAATACCATTGATTCAATACTTTATCTAATGTACGGACCTTATTCAAATTTTGCCACTTAAACTAATCTTTTCTAATTTCTGTAAAATATAGTTGATCAGAATTCCGTATTCAATAGTTAATCTGTGGCGAAGAAGGCATAATTCTCTCCTGCTCTCAGTGACACAGATCCAGTCAGAATTCCAGAGCAGTGTTCTGAACAGGGATCTGTATCAGAATCACCTTGGTCATTAAAAACAGACACATACTTAGTACTCATCCTAGATTCGCTGATTCCAAATCTAAGAGATTGGAGTCAAAGTAAGGATGTTTTGAGAAAACACCTCTCAATGACTGATGCATAACATTAATTTAGAATCTTTTCCCTAAAGATTAGCAATCCTTAATGGAAAACCATCTTATCTTTTGAAAAAATGTGTTTACCAATATTTAAATTACTCTTTCTCTTTCAGGCTTATCCTGAATATTTAATTACATACCAGATTATGAGGCCTGAAGGTATGGTTGATGGATAAATGAAGAGTTAGTTGTTTTAGGAAACTAACTCCACTGAACCTAAAATCATCTAAGCTGGTGGTCTTTTAAGTTTTATTCCTTGGCTGAAAAAAATCATCTTGTCCGCAGGCCTGCGGCAAAAGGATAAAAAATGTGAAAGAAATTTAGCATTCTGACTTGATAAAGCTTTAATAATGTACAGTGTTTTCTAAATATTTCCTGTTTTTCAGCACTTTAACAGATGCCATTCCAGGTTAAACTGGGTTTGTCTGTACTAAATTATAAACAGAGTTAACTTGAACCTTTTATACATCATGCATTGATTCTAACAGAAACTGTAATGCTCTCAGTAGAACTCGTTTTACTAATACAATACTGTGTTCTTTAAAACACAGCATTTACACTGAATACAGTTTCACTTGTAAAACTGTAAATAAGAGCTTTTGTACTAGCCCAATATTTATTTACATTGCTTTGTAATATAAACCTACTGTTTTAGAACTGCAGCCATTTACAAAACTTTTTCATATGTATTGCTTATCTGGACTTCATCTTGCATCATCATGATTGAGTGATTGTTATATTTGATTCCAGAGGCGATGTTGAGTTGTTAGCAGAAACCTAGTTGGGAAAGACTGATTTATCAAATACATCTTTGCTGATGGAAGCATTTATCTCTCATTAGAAATCTCTCCCGTTTAAGAACTTGTTTCATGAATACTCTGATTTAATTTGTGGTATCTTTTTATGTATAAGACACACATTCCAAAAAAAAACTCACTTTGATAAGTCCTGATTGCCAAGAGCCTCTTAACTGACCTCAAACTCTGGGTTTAGTGTGGGAAAATTTTCTACTGTCATTCTGTGAAAATTAGAGCAAGTGCTCTTATTTTTTAGAGAGGCTACATCCTGTCATTGTACAATTATGGTGTTTTTTTCATGGAATATAAATAGGAAGTTAAGTTTCAGAGGTGGGAAGGGTGATCTTGGTAATTTCCCAATCTGTTCTATTTACCTTAAGTCTAAAGGAAAAAGGAAAAAAAACACATAGCTAATGGGAGTGGGTAGTTCTTTGCCCTAGAATGCTTCCTGTTCTTTTTCTTGGCCTTATTGTTACACTTAGACCACCAGTCCATACATCACGGATAAACTCAGTCCAGAACCATAAGATGTAGACGTCCCAGTTCTCTCCTGGCCTCCCGAATGTGCAGTGAGGCTGGTGCTTCCTGCTCCTGTGCGGCCCCACCCACCCGCGCTTAGTTGGAGCTCTGCTTTCAGTTGGTGCACCACATGGTGACCAGGCTTGGGTTGAAATGGCAGCTATGGAGGGGAGTGCTGTCCCCATAAAATGCCATTCCTGACTATTTCTAGAGTAAAACTTTTTTTTTCCCCAGGAAGTGTGCTAAAGTATTTTGAAACAGAGCCATGCATTACGGGTTGGCAGTCTTTTTTATTTGTTGACCCTAGCTCCTGCAGAAGTCAAGGAACGATTTTTACCTATGAAAGTTTGTGTAAATGAGGACGTTGCCCTTCACTCTCTGTACTGGCTCACCTTTGTTTTGCATTTTATGCAGTCTCTAAATTTACTTAGCCTTTGTGGTAACTTGTACATAGAGTGCTAGAAAATCATGTTTCTTGCCCTAAGTAAGAATTAATCAAGTAAATGCGTATCTGGAGTTGTTTCTATGATATAGATTGTGATTGTTATTTAAGAAGTCAAATCCTGACCTTGAAATGCTTTTATACATTTCTCCAATAATTGCAAATATGATTCTAAAGTCATTTCTTGGAACACGAATGGAGTATGCCAAATTTTATATAATTTTTCAGATTTTATAGTTAATAGATAATGAGATGAGTTCATGGAGTTTATACTTACATATCTTACCTCTCAACGTTTAGCCCATATTACTTACCCTATGAGTGATTCTGGAATTGCTTGTCATGTAGAATCATCGTGGTCTATGCGTTTACAGTATTGCTGTTTGTGTTGTTTCATCTAATCCATTGCTTAATTAGTGTGTTCTTTTTCCATGAATGATTATATTGTGGTTAATATGTTAGCATGGCAATATTTTCAGATAGCTTTTTCTGTTTGTTGGGGTTTTGGGGTTCATGGGTTTTTTTTTGTTTTTTTTTGTTTTTTTTTTAGTACTTCGCATGAATCTTACTTTGTAATGATGGAATTTTTTTTGTCCTTTTTTTTTTTTGGAAGTGAAACTTAACTTTTTGTGTGATTAGTAATACTATGCACATCTTGAGTGTCTTTCTTGTACTGTATCACATTCCATACCCTCATTTAATTCTTAATAAACTGTTCACTTGTTTTTCTGGGTAATATAGTAATTACTGGAATAGTATAAATGTGTTGAATGGTTTTTGAGAAAATGGATTGAGATAACAATAAAGCACAACTGCAGGAAAACAGTGTAGTTCTGAATTTAATAATGATGAAGTGTGCGGTTTAAAATTTGAAATATTGAATGTTGCAACCATACCTGCTCAGATGCTTTAAGATAAAAGTAGCTGTAAGACATTTATACATTTAGTCCATCCCATACAACTCCGCCCCCCACCCCCCCAGCACCACTTTTGGTAAACCTTAAAGCTCATTCCTGGGAAATCAGTCTTCTTCATTTATAAAGAGAAATATATTTTTGTTTTCTGTTATATTTAAAAAATTATTGATAAGGTCTTGAAACTCAAAGTTAGTGGTATGTATTGCTCTTAAAAGAAAGTGTAGTAATGTAAGTATTTTAGAGTTCAGTATCCCAAGTGTCCATGTGCGTGTGATGAGATCTCTGCTTTCCCGTGAGATTAGTGGTATACATAACTCATAAATCATTTGACTTTGAAATATATTTCAGCAGCTGCATCTTACTGCTTCAGTTAGGATAATATTAAAATGTTAGCTCTTTCCGAAGCGTGCATCCCAGTGTATCGTATGATCCAGTTGTTTGCAGGGCAATGAGGAAAGAAAACACAAATAAATTTCCTAAGCTTTTGTGATTGGTATTCCTGACTGTGCCTTTTTACCTACTGTCCTGTCCTATTAGAGGACTAGCATGACAGAGGAAGCAAGTAGCGGTACCTATTCAGAAGAATGTCCACTCTTCCACCCCACCCCCACCCCCACTTTTTTTAATGCTTTCTTGTTTAGGCGGACTGTGACTTTAAAATACCTAATTTCACTTTTCTTAGAAAATTCTTGCTTTCTAGACAACCCACCATTAACAAAAGTATCTTCTCCGATTGGTCACCCACCCACAGTTGTCATCCCCATTCAGACCAATATACACAGAGCCCCCAAAATGGTTGACCAATATGCTATAGAGCAGTGCTACTCAAAAGTATGGTCTGCAGGTAGTGTTGGTCTGCATGCTGTATGTTACCAGCCCATAGAAAGATGAATTTTAAAAAGCGAGAATAAACTTTTAGAATCTTTTGTAACAATTTGACATTGCTGCAGTATTTTTAATTTATTTCACAAAAATATTGGTCTGCAACAGATTGGAAATTAAGAAGGGGAAAAAAACAGTTTTTCACAGATACTTTGAGAAGTACAGAACAGTATCATTTTTGTTTGCAACTAGACCCAGTACCTAGTACATCCTGGCACATAGTAGTTCCTCAGTAAATTTTTGTTAAAATGAATGCATTTTTTTAAAAAGTAGCTAAATAATTGGACTCTAGGGTCAGATTAATCTGGATTTGAATTTTTGCTCTATCCTTCACCAGCTATTTGACCTTGAATGAAACACATAACCTTTATCCGTTTTGTAGTACTTATCTTTTAGGGTTGGTAAGAGCATTAAATGATTTTCCATGTGTGCCACTCATTGCTGTATTTCGGTTATTATACTCCAGGACTAGTGGCTTGAGTTTTCCCATTTATCATGGAGACATGGAATATAATTTTAAAGCTGTAAGATTTATTAACCACTGAACACTTTGTTCAGATGAAATCTTAAGAAGCTCAAAATTTAGTATATAAATTTTGTAGGTGCGTGAAGATCTCAGTTTGAAAATTGCTGATATAAGCACACAGACATTATGGCAACTTGGTTGGGGAAGGAAGACATACCTATAACCCAAACTGCATTATATTCCTACAGAAAAAATAAGCCCCACTCAAGTGGGCTCATGATCAAAAATCCGTAACAATCTTTTGTCAGCATGAAACAGTAGACACAATCTTGGAGGATTAGCACCCCACAAACTTGAAATAATAGAATAACAACAGAATAAGTATATAAGTATGTTTAAAATCATTAGGTGGTAAAAGCATAAAAATTGTTAGAAAAGATGACACTGTGAAAAAGGCAAAGTAGATTTGAAAAGCTAAGTCTTCTGGAACTAAAAAGTACAATTAATGAAATTTAAAACTCAAAAGACAGATTAAACTTCGCATTGGACATATCTGAAGAGAGAATTGGTTAACTAGAAGATAAATCAGGAAAATACCCAGATTATAGCAGAAGGAAGAGATGGGAAATGTGAAAGAGTTAAGAGACAAGGAGAATAGAATGAGAAGATCCAACCTAAAGAACAAGGGAGGGGAGAGATTTGAAGAGTTCCAGAATTTATAAAGAATATGAATCCTCAAACTGAAGAACAATACCTAGGAGGGCAAATAAAAACAGATCTACTTCTAGACATGTAATGGAACTGCAGAACATCAGAAGATGAGAAAAACCTTAAAACTAACCAAAGGGAAAAAATAGATTATCTACAAATGGAATAATAAACTGATAGGATTTTCACTGACAACAATAGAGGCCAGAAGACAATGAAATAAACTTCCAAGTGCTGAGGGAAAACCTCTGTTAGCCTAAAAGTCTGTATGTAAATAGACGAGTATTCAAAAGAGAGAATGAAAAACACAAGTTCAGATTTTGGCAAAAGATTGTTCTTCAGGAAAAAGTTAATTGCAGAAGGAAGGAGTAGGGTGCAAAAGAAGCATGGTGGACAAAGAAATTGGTAAACAAGTTAGTAAATAGACTGAAATAATACCCAAGTATAAAAAGAATACAAAAGTGCTTTATTAACTGATACAGAATAATTTTCAAGACATTGAAAACACAAGGGATTGACCAGTATGTATGATCTGCTACTATTTGTGGAAGATGAAAACAGTATAATATGCATTTGCTTGGTTTGCATAAAATACCTCCAGGATACATACAAATTGTTAGCATCAACTATTGTGAGGAAACCTGGGTGTCGGGGACAGAAGTATGAAAGACTTTTCACTGTATGTACTTTTATTCCTTTTGAACTTTGTAACAAGACCTTTATCTATTTAAAAAACACTATAGTTAAAATAGCGTTGTCTATAAAAATGCAGTAGAAGTAATAAAATAGACTTGAGAGTTTTAAAACCAGGTGGAACTAAAATACTAGGTGACAGTGTTGGGAGAAGAGAGAAGCTTTAAGATATTGATGAACATTAGACTTCAAGTCAAATATGCATACTAAATTTTTAAGGGTAATCACTAAAAGAGTAGAAACAGAACTGTAAAAGTGAAGAAAGGTAATAAAACTGAACACTCCAATAGAAAATGGGAATAAATCATGGTTAATGAGTCAGAAGGATAACCAGGACTTTAATTCTATGAAACAGTTATTTTGTTTTCAGAAACATTTAAGACAAAAGAATTCATATGATGGATCAAGGAGACAAAAAATGAAAATATAGGAGACCTAAATAACATAATAATGTAGATATAACAGCAGTATATAAAACTTTATTCCCTAGAAAACTATACCTGTTTTTCCCAAGTACTCCTGGAACATTCACAAAAATTGTCCATGCACAGAACATAAACCCATTAAATTTCAAGAAGTAGACATTATGCAGACAACATCTAATTAAAATTTGGCAAAACTAAAAGTTAGCAACAAAACACACAAAAACTGCTAAATAGCTGCTTGGCTACTTAAAATGTTTCCTTGGTTCAAACAGGAAATTAAAGCTGAAATTGCAAAATAGTTAGTAGAATAAGGAAAACACTATCAAAATAGACACACCTAAAGCAGTGCTGAAAATGTTTGAGACCTTAAATACTTACATTAAGAAACAAGAAAAGACAAATTAAGTATCTAACTCAAGAAGCAAGAAGTTATTAAAACCTGCTGCCCTGGAGTCAATTCCGACTCATAGTGACCCAATAGGGCAGAGTAAAACCACCTCATAGGATTTCCAAGGAATGGCCAATGGATTTGATCTGCCTACATTTTGGTTAGCATCTAAGCTCTTAACCACCGTGCCACCAGGGCTCTGAAGCAAGAATGAAAAATAAAACCAAGGTATGAGGGAAGAAAAAAGTAAAATAAATAAAAGTAGAAATTAGTAAATAAGGTATTAGTAGAAGCAATAAATGTAAAAACTGGTTTATTAAGGGAATGGAAAGAGCCCTGGTGGTGCAGTGGTTAAGTGCTCCACTGCTAACCAGCCACTTCTGGGAGAAAAAACCTGACAATCTACTGCCTTAAAGATTTTAGCTTAGGAAACCTATGAGACAGTTCTACTCTGTCCTCTAGAGTCTCTATGAGTCAGAATCAGCAGCAGGCAACAAGGGAGTGAAACAGATAAACTGTTAATTAAGGTAATTAGGAAAAATGACTAAATGAAATCCACAATATAAAAAATTGAAGTGGGGAAGTCACCACAGAGATCTCTGGAAAATTTTAAAGAATTTTAAAGGACCACTTTGCTCAACTCCATGCAAATTAATTTGAAAAAGGTCAGCAGTTCAATTCCACCAGCCGCTCCTTGGAAACCCTATGGGGCAGTTCTACTCTGTTCTGTAGGGTCGATGTGAGTCAGAATCCACTCAACGGCGATAGGTTTTTATATGAAATAAGTGATATTCTAGTAAAACATAAAATTACCAAAACTTATCCCAGAGGAGAAAGCAAATATAAACTAAATATCAAAGATGAAATAGAGAATTGTCAAAGAGCTGTTGCCAAAAAATCCAGACCCAGCGAATTTCATGGGTAAAGTTTCACAAACCATTAAGGAACAGATAACTCCAACGTTATTTAAACTGTTCTAAAGTGTAAGGAGGAGCCCTGGTGGCACAGTGATTAAGAGCTCAGGTTGCTAAGCAAAAGGTTGGCAATTCAAATCCACCAGCCTCTCCTTGGAAACCCTGTGGGGCAGTTCTACTCTGTCCTATAAGGTTGCTATGAGTCAGAAATAGACTTGACGGGTTTTTTTTTTAAAGCATAGGAAAGCTTCAGATTTTTTAATTATAAATGCAGCATAGAATTAGTATCAGACTTTGACAAGATAACACAAAAAAGAATGGATATTAATGTACAGATCTTTAAAATAATTGCAAACAGAACCCAGCAGAACATTAAAATCATAAGACCCGTAGGAGCAGGGATTAACTGCAAAAAGGGGCATGAGGGAATTTGGGGAGGTAATAGAAATGTCCTAAAACTAGATTCCTTACCTTACACCATACACAAAAACGAACTCAAAATGGATCAAAGACCTAAATCTAAGAACCGAAACTACAAAACTTAGAAGAAAACCTAGGGGTAAATCTTCATTAACTTGGATTTGAAAATGGTTTCTTAAATACGACAACAAAAGTACAGGCAACAGCAACAAAAAAAGATACTGGACTTAATTAAAATAAAAAACTTCAGTGCATCAAAAGATACTAGTAAGAAGAGTAAAAAAG